TGCACGACGTGTTAGCCGAAACAAGTGACTGCTTAATCCAATCTCTGGAGTGCTCGCTTCTGTTGATGGGCCAATCAGTCTGGAGTCCCCTCACAACACGCAAAAAGAGCCACACATGCTCAGGCAAAAAAGATTCAGAAAAACATGTGGGTTATTGTCAGAATCCCACTGAGGCTAGACTGTTTGAAGTGCTCCCTCTAAAGGTAGCAAAGGAAAATCTACATCCCACTAGGACCTTTCGCCATTTCTTTCTTATCTGGCACAAATGATAATGAATACAGCATGAAAAAATAAACAAGTGTGCAACAGTGCCAGTATGAGTGGGGAGATTAAGCTTTCACTGAAAAAGACCTAAGAAAAGTATTTCCTTTTTATTGGTTATTACTGGCACAAGAAGTTACAGGTTATATACTAGGGGTGGGAATCTCTAGGCACCTCACGATTCGATTCGATTACGATTCAGAGGGCTGCGATTCGATGCTAAAGCGATTAATCAGAATCTTTTGTGTGTGTGTGTGTGTGTGAGACTATAAATACTTTGCTTTAAAAGTACCAAGTAATGATCCATAAAGAATTAACGTACAATATATTTTATTAACATTGCTAAGATTTTAGTTTGGATCATTTTTAACCCCCAAAAATCTACCGACTGCAGCTTTAACGAAGAGGGTGTTTGGATTTCGCGCTCAGCCATCGCGTGACTCGCGTCTCTGTTACAGTGCACGCCACAGACGGTCCGGGCACTGCACTTCCGCGCTTCAGAGTTCCGTCTTTTGCGTTCCGTCAATATTACGTTATTATAAATATATATATATATACAGTATATATATAAAATTATTCTTTTTTTTTTGAAAATCTATTTTTGATATTTGTGAATCGATTCAGAATCGTCCACGTCCGATGCATCTAAGAATCTATTTTTTCCCCCACTCCTAATATATACAGTAGGCCTATATATTTCAGAGTAATGTGGTAATTTGTGTGTAGGCGTTAACATTATTGGGGGTTACGCAATACAAGAAACACAGGTTACATAATCCATTACTTTTTTCAAGTAACTAGTAAAGTAATGCATTACTTTTAAATAGATCGAGTTGTAGATCGACTAAAATGTGTGCATGCATTTACTCATCTGATTTGCACAAAACCAGATTCAGTATTAACACTGAATAAACTAAAAGTGTTTGGCATGGTAATGGGTATGACAATGTTGATATACAGTATTTGGTCTTGGCGGAATAGATCTGCTATGCTGCTCTGTTGGTTATTGCTGCTGCTGCTGCTGCAGAGAAAGTTCAGGACTTGCTACTGCCAATACATACACGACACGCTGCTGTGAGCAAGACAGACATGCTGCTGTTGTACAATATAGCATGAATTACCCGTAACAGATCTATACAGGTGGAGCTGGGGAAGGTGGAGGGTTTCAGAAAGCGTTCTGCACTGCTAAGGCACACTAGCTCATTGGCTACTGATACAGCAGGAGCCAATCAGCTGTGCCCTATAGAGAATGATATGATTCCAAGCGTTTGAGTTAAGGACCTATTAGCCTGCGCCATCTAAAGTTTCATTACAGAACTTTGTATATGTTAAAAAACACAAATATACTTTATGCCCAGGTGAGAAAAAGTAGCGCAAAAGTAAAGTAACGCATTACTTTCCATAAAAAGTAATGCAATTAGTTACTTTTTATGGAGTAACACAGAATTGTAATGCATTACTTTGAAAAGTCACTTAAGCAAGTCTTATTTATAGAATATCCATAATCTCTGTTGCAGTGGAGGTCAATCCCTGGATAATATAGTGGTATTTCAAGAAATTTTCATTAAAAAATGTCAGCAGTTGAAAACCAACAGGACTCCTGGACTCCTGGCAATAGGTTACCATGTATTTAAAGACTGGATGTATATGATGTTAAAATAGACCAATTGGTTAAGGTTTGTTTGGTTAGCACAATCCAGTTATTCCTGGATGGCTTTTCTCTAGGAATTAAAGAGCTCCTTGTGTGTTCAAGCTGCCCTGGTACCACCATGCATACACACACACACGCTCGCCTGTTATTTTAGTTTTCACTGGTGTGTGCGAGTGTGTCTGTGTGATTTTATGCCCTTTGGTTAGGCATAGCGTCCGCTATGCCACAGTGCTCTAGAACTTTAGCAGGCAGTCAGGTGTGCCTGCAGAAACAACATCTCCCTTCAGCATGACACCCCTCGCCGTCACCCTGCCTGTCAGCCTTTCATTTTGTATCTCTCTCACTTTCTTCCTCTCCTTCCCTCCCTGTAGTGCTTTCTGTGCACCTGTATTCTGTGCCATTTTTTTCCATTCATGATCATTTCATATTTATTTTCACTGTCCCTTCGAAGCGCTCTACCATTCTCTTTCTCGCACTCTCTCATTAACAGTCAGCTCTCGTCGTCGGCTCACTCTGTGTCTTAACCACTAGGGAGACCTTCATTTATACGCTCAAGCTAGGGCTCTCCCTCCCTCTCCCCTTTTCCTCTTCTCCCGTTTTTCTCACTCTCTCCCCCTGCCAAGTATTTATGTGTTGATTTAGTCATGCCAGACTTTAGCCAATTTAAGAAACAGGCCGCGTTTGCAGCTGTTTCATTTTCTCCTCCTGCCCGTGCAGTTTTAACCAGTGGCGGCAGTGGCGTCTGTCTTAAGGGAAGCTGGGTAAATGAAGTTCTCTCTCTCTTTCCCTTCACCACCCCGGTTCCGCTCCCTCAGGGCTGGAGGCACAAACATAATTTCTCTCAAAGGGGAGTTTGACTGTAAGATGGATTATTTCTGCCTGAAATCAGACGCTAAGCTGGATAAGGCTGCTCGTCCGTTCAGTTTCAATATTAAAATGATAAGTTAAGACTGCAAAGCCACTCGCAAAAATTACAAGTTGTTTCTGCGGGCATGTCTGCTACTTTCTTGGCCAAAGATGTCCAGCTAAATGTGCATTACAATGTTTTGTAAAGCTTTTCAATAGGTGACTCAGACATATGTACTGTATATTCTTTTTGGGGTCAGTAAGATTTTGTTTTTGAAAGCAATTGGTAATTTTAATTCAGCAATGATGCATTAAAGTGATCAAAAGTGACAGCAGAGATTATTACATTGTATCATGGGTTTCCCCAAAATGTTAAGCAGCACAACTGTTTTCAACATTGATAAAAATAGGAAATGTTTATTGAACATCAAATCCGTATATTAGAGTGATTTCTGAAGGATCATGTGACACTGAAGACTGGAGTAATGATGCTAAAAATTCAGCTTTGCATCACATTGCATTTAAAAAAAAAAAAAAAATTAAATCTCCACTTCACTTCTTTCTAGAGAGAGAGAATATATAATAAATTAAGTTTGTCTTTCCCCAATTCTATTACTCAATCCAAGAAGCATAACCCTGACTAAATCTTCTTAGCTTTACCAAAAATTTAAGTTTAATTTTCTCACTCCATTGTAATTCATTTAGTTAATTCTATCTAAATTTAGTGAGATCTATGTTAAAGTTAAAAAACTTATTTAGATATATTCAAAAAATAAATCTTACAATTTTGCTTCCCAATTAAATGTATTGATGTTTTAGATGTTGTTTGTTTGTTATTATTGGAAACCATGATTTGAAATGATTTGTTACAGGGCAAACTTTCTGGATTTATATATATATATATATATATATATATATATATATAGTGAAGCAAGAATATAAGAAGAGGGGGGGGGGAAAGAACCATGCAGATATTCCCGAGGCCACAAATCCAGACAGGGGCTCTGTCTTTGTTCATTGTTAAACAACAACAAAAAGGTTGTATAATTATCTCCAGCTGCAGGGAAGAATAAGTATTCCAACTTAACTTTTTGTGAGACCTCAGGCAGGTTGCTGTAAACAGTTTACAAAAATAAATTAACATACTTCATATCAGTTAGGCTAATCTTCAACCATTGTTAACAAACAATTCCCAGTCTTGGTGTGGGAATGAAGGATCCTTTCATCTGTCTTTTTCTATTCATATTTTCTATTCGTTTTCTTTCTGTCACAGACTATTTTCAATGTTGTAGGAATGTTTCATGACAGCATCGCAGAGCCCAGTTTTACTTTTAGGGGGCCAACTATATTGTACCTTAAGTTTTTTGTGTACATATTTAAAGCACATGCATTTTTGAAGTAGACAACCAGATACTTTGGTTCAGTAGGCTAATTGGCAAGAGGCTCTTAACAGATGTTGTTAGTCATTGTTTGTGTGAAAATACATTTTATTTGTGTAATTTTATTGTGCGATTGTACAGCACATTGGTCAACATTACGTTGTTTTAATTGTGCTTTATAAATAAATAAATAAATGATGAATGTTGAGATTGGCACTAGGAGTCAAATCCAGGGGTTTGCCACCCCAAAATCAAGCATCCCAGCTTACAGGGATCATTCTCAGAACTTTGGCTAACATTCTTGAAAGGTTTTCTTCTCAAGTTATGAACAAACATTCTTCCAGTATGTTAATAGGATGTGCGGATGTAAGTTATCTGCTCTTTAATAATGTTCTCCACAAAATTGTTATTTGTACATAGTTCATGGAACATTTTTTCCCTGAAACGTTTTAGTTGGACGTTTGTCTAAAGATTTTTGAATGTTACTACTTGTTTTGGAAGATTCATAGAACATTCCAAAGCAACGTTCTCATAATGTTTGCAAAATGATAAAATGGAATTTTTCTTAGCTGGGATACTATGAAAATGCTCCAAAAACAAAAATACTTACTGTTAAAAATAGAAATGTATAATTAAAATGTGTGTGTTTGAACTATGATGTCACATATTTGTGAAAAATGTGTAGAAACTGAAAGGACTAAGAGTTGGAAGAAATGGGTTGCATGTGGGGATCAACATCTTACTTTACTAATAATGTAACGCAACAAACAGTGAGAAATTAACAGATGTTGAGACATTTTGAGTCATCTAGTAATGCATTAAAATGAAATGCAATGTAAATTACCTCTTATCTCCCTCCTCAGCAATCGGGCGGACCCTCATCCCTCGTTACTTCAGCACGGTATTTGAAGGTGGCGTGTCAGACCTCTACTACATCCTGAAACACTCCAAAGAGTCCTTCCACAACTCCTGCATCACTGTAGACTGCGACCAGTGCACCATGGTCACACAGCACGGCAAGCCCATGTTCACCAAGGTAAAGAGGGTGTGTGTGTGTGTGTGTGTGTGTGTGCATGGCAGGCTTGATAATTTACTTTAATCACAGCTATTATTCTATGTGTTTACTGATGGAGGTTGTTAGGACTCTGCTGAGAAAGCTCTTTATGAATCTTTTACTCAGTACTCACTCTGTGTATACAGTGTATTGTCATATACGTTTGATTGGTTTCATAGTCATGGTAAGAAAAAAACATAATAAAATCAAGTTGGTGAGATTTCATTTTCTGCATTGTCTGAATGCACTAAAACAAGGACACAAAAGCAAGCATAATACAGACTTGCATTTGAAAGGGGAGACAAAATTAGGTGTCAGCTAACTGTTTTACTGATTAAATATGCAGTTTTATTTTATTATTTTATTAGTCACTTCCCTGTTGACATGTTTATGCCTCGGTCAGGCCGTCTAGGTCATCTGGAATATAAGATATAGGTACTTGATGCTTCATAACTTTTTCAGCCTGAATTCCTGCTGTCTTAAATAATAATAATAAAATGTCATTATAGTAATAAAAATAATAAATAATAATAAAATGTCATTATAGTAATAAAAATAATAAAAAGCCATAGAATTATGAAAAAAGGTGAAAGGTCATCAGCCCATTGTGGTTGATGTAATGTCACACCCTGAATGGTTAAAAAATGACTTTTAAAGATCTGTCAGCTGTAGTGGACATCATGCATCAGAGCCGGGTTAAACCACTTATCAACAGATTTTACGTTTCTACCTTGTCCATCGAGCACTTTAGATTATTTTTACATACTGTTATGGACTAATCCACTTTAATCCATACAAGAGCCCATGTACTTATTACAGATACAGAGGAATAGAGACCCACTAGTCTTTGAGGAACTGATTACAAAATCTCAGCTGTGCTGCATTCAGAGAAATAGTCCAAAAACATAATAGCAGATATTTTGTAGTTATTTGTGTATTTGTACAGAGTGGAGAACCAAATTCATATATATATATATATTTTTTTCCTACAGGCTATTTTTTTATGTCCCATGGTAATAAAAACTGGCAGATTTAAACTTTTTTTCTTTCTTTTTTTTTTATATAAAGGTCAAAATTGTCTTGGAAACTGTTTATTTTATTTTATATATATATATATATATATATATATATGATTTTATTTCAGCATGCATTCTTTATTTTTGGCACTTTTTAATGGCTTTTGTCTATAGATTATAGTTTTACTCTTATCCGGATTAAACTACTGTATGAAAATTCATTATTAAATTATTAGTTTAAAAGTATCTAAATAAAAAGTAAAATAAACATAAGCCATTTGAATATGTAGTGTGTGAAAATAAACTCTTTAAACACATTTCACCTGTCAACAACTTTTTCACCCATAAAGTTTATTTAAAAGTTAGTGTACTTGTAAACCAACTTGTTAAAAAAAATCCATATTGTTTTATTTGCAATCAAGCTTTTTAATTGTATTGTTGTGAGTATTAAGGATACATAAAAAGCTAGCTATGAAATTAGCTTTAGCCAGACTAAGGAGATTCCAAAATCAAGTGAATGATGATGTGATGAAAATGTTATGTTATGTTAATGTTATGCGTGTATATCCTCTATTGGACATATAATCCTATGAAGAATCATATGAAGAATCCCCTATATTTTAATATTCTAATGATTGGCTAGACCGGTTGAAATTTTAAACCCATCCTGAAGCACAGCTATGAAGCAGTACAGTTTTAGAGGGAGAGGAAAAGGCTTTTAGTTTTTCCCCAGCATGTTACGGTGTTGAGCGATGGTGCTGAACAAGGGATGGAAAGACGGACACAAAAAGGGAGAGACGGGGAAAGAGTGAAACAAGCTAAAAACGATTCAGAGGGTAGGAAAAGCATACAGAAGATGAAAGAAGTGGGGAGAGAGAGCGAGAGAATGTGAAAGAGTGTGGTCATGTGATGGCGCTGTGCTCTCCCGCCAGCCTCTTTTCTTGTTGATCCTCCAGAGACCATCTGTGCTGAGGGCATTGATTAGAGTGGCTCTGGCGGGATTACATCTTTGCCGTTGCCATGCCAACTAATCAGCTGACGCTCCCACCCCCCAATCCCCCTTCCTCTCCCTTCCTCCTCCTCATCCTCCGGTTGCCCCAGCAACAGAACATTGGGGCTATGAGTAGCGCAGCTCTAAATTCAGCAAAATGTTTTTCTCATCCTGATTTTTAAGTAATTGCTAATGGTTTATGACCTCTGCATGTATTCAGCATTTTGTTGTTTTGTTTTTGTGTAAGCTCTTCTCAAGTATGTCCATTTCGTTGGCCTTCAGTTCAGGTATACAACATAAACACCTTTTATTTATCACGATGAGAGAGACATTTAACACAAAGGACATATCAGCAGACTGTAGTCTTTGAAGACATCATAGATTTCTCAATGTTTGCATTCTCAGGTGTGTACGGAGGGCAGGTTGATTCTGGAGTTTGCCTTCGATGATCTGATGAGGATCAAGACGTGGCACTTCAACATCAGACAGTATCGGGAACTCATCCCACGCAGCATTCTAGCCATGCACGTGAGTTTGATATCATCACTCCATCCTAGGGCTGTCCTACCACATGGTTTGGTTGGAGGTGTGTGTGCAGTATATCAGCTATTTTGCAAAGCTATATAAAATTTAGTTTAGCGGTTTTTGATCTTTGGTTCTTAAAGGGATAGTTTGGCCAAAAATGATATTTAACACATGCATTACTCACCCTCAAGCCGTTCGAGATGCATATGTCAATCTTTTTTCAGACGAACACATTTTTAGTTATTTTAGAAAATGTCTTAGACCCTTCAGTGGATATAATGTGAAGCAATGGGGTCCACCTCCTTCAAGTCCCAAAATGTGCATACATCCTTCACAAAAGTAATCAATCCGGCTCCAGGGGGATAAACGAAGGCCTTCTGAGGGTAATCCGTGCGGTTTTGTCATAAAAATATACATATTTAAAACTTTATAAATGAAAATATCTGACTTCCGGCAACGATCGACGCGCGTTCACGGGTGATGGAAGTCTGCGTACGAGGTAGGACGTAGCGTAGGAACCGTCGTGACGTAGACGTTGTTTTGCTCTGCTCTCTGGCTGCGCAGGCGCGTTCGTTCTACGTCACGACGGTTCCTACGCTACGTCCTACCTCGTACGCCGACTTCCATCACCCGTGAATGCGCGTCGATCGATTTTACGACAAAACCGCACGGATTACCCTCAGAAGGCCTTTGTTTATCCCCCTGGAGCCGGATTGATTACTTTTGTGAAGGATGTATGCACATTTTGGGACTTGAAGGAGGTGGACCCCATTGCTTCACATTATATCCACTGAAGGGTCTAAGACATTTTCTAAAATAACTGAAAATGTGTTCATCTGAAACAAGATTGACATATGCATCTCGAACGGCTTGAGGGTGAGTAATGCATGTGTTAAATATCATTTTTGGCCGAACTATCCCTTTAACTTATATGTTACACTACCATTTCAAACCTACCATCTCAAATTTTTTTCAAACTCTCATTCTCATCAAGACTGCATTTATTTGATCAAAAATACAGTAAAAACAGTAATACTGTGAAATATTACTACAGTTTAAAATAACGGTGGAAAACGGAACTCATAGCATAGAATAATTATACTTATTTTACATCTGGCATAAATTAAGAAATTATTTTTTTTAAACTGTTTATTTATGAGACATCAAAGCTGCCTTGGATGGAAAATATATTTTTAAAAAAGTACAATCAAAAGGTCAATTGAGTCATTTTAAATGAGTAATTAATGAGCACTGCAGACATGCTGCGATAAAGGAAATTAAGCAACTGAAAATCTGGTGTTCATATTTTCTCATTTTAAAACTTAACTTTTATTGACTCATCGCTTTTCAAGCAATATATTTAGCTTTAAATCACATTTGAGTTTTAACTCATCACTCCCCCTTGTAGATTCAGAGATAGTGTAGTTTTAGAAAGTTTGTTCACAGCAACTTATAAAATTCACATGCTCTTAAATTGGGCCCTTTGGGGCCTTGTATTCTGGTGGAGAGGGAGAGAGAGTGAATGAGGGAGAAAGGGCTTTGAAAGATTTTTGACAAGGATAGTGCAAAAGTTACTGCAGCATGTTTGATCAACTCATTCTCGTACACATGGGTAAAGCTGCAAAGAAATTGAGTCAAACTCATCTGATCAAGGCTAATGAGAATATGAGCACATTGGAGGAACCGTGTTTTAGATGCTCAAAGCGGACTGCGGTCTGTTCCGGACCCTGGCCTGGTTACAACCGGACCATGAGACACACTGACAGCGGTAGCACCATTTAACCGTTTCTAGATTTCAAAGTGAGCAACGCATAAAAATAAAAATAAAACAGAGCAGTACACACCTCAAGCGCTCAGGGTCGTGTATATGGTAATGATCTTTAGGCGCTATATCCTTTTTATCAAGAGCTTGATTCGAGCCCTTTCCATTCTTTGCGTGTTGCTTCTCTCTCCCGCTAAATCGCCACTATAAGAGATGACGCAGTTATTTTAACAACAGTAGCAGAAACACGGTGAGCAGCAAATAGATTGATATTTTCTCTAAAACACTGCCGAAAATAAGAATGCAGCAAATACAATTATTTTGATTATATTATTCCGGCCCGTCCAAATAGACAAGTTTTTATAAGACTTTTTTTTATCTACATTTAACATTATTAATCAATGTGTCAATTGCATTTCATAATAAACAATGTTATAATTGGGACAATTATTTGTTGATGGCAAGGAGACAACTAAAACTTTGAAATGACTAGAATTACTGTTTTCTGCTCAAGATGAGAGTGTTTTGATTATTATGTGCATTGCTTGTTTGTATTTTAGATACTCATTTTAAGCTAAATATACAAATGGTCCTGACTTCAAGAGAAAAACCCTGAACCCCCATACAGTATACAGTATTTTCTGTCACATGGCCTTCTGCCATACACACTGTAGTGTAAAAATAATAATAGCCTGATAAAACATCTCATCTTACCTTTTAATATTCAAATCCAAATAGAATTTTTTTTTTTTTTTTTTTTTTTTTTTTTACAAAGTACTACTGCTGTCAAGATGGAAATTTAGAACTATTCTACAAAATGTGTTGTCTTGAACTTCACTGGGAAGTATATGTAGAGACCGGACCACTTGGAAATGTAATTGAATACCCCTGCTCTACTCTGCTAGTTTACACTGCCCAGACCAATCAAGTGACAGGAGCTCAATGATTGGCTGATGTCATTGCTGTATCAATCATCTCATGCTGCTTAACACAATTTACCTTGATGAATCTAGTCAATAATTTACCAGTAAGAACAAAAACTGCATTAGTTTGTAATTCATACTGAAATTCACTCTAACATTTCAATTTACATTTAGTCAATCAATATTAATTAGCAGCTGCAGCACACCCCTGATCCAATGCCCAAAATCTGAATCAAAAATGTTTTCAGCGTAATCACAGTGATTCAGATAAATTGCATCACTAGAATCTCACAAGAATCTTACAACCACCATAGACACAGAGAAAGACACATGTCCCCCAATCCTCGCCCCTCAGATATTCAAAATATAGATCTGAATATAACAGTGAATATGTGGTCACATCTGGGGTCTCATAAATGAAGCATTAGAAAAGCTATATGAGTTGCTTTTGGTCGATAACATGCTGCGGATTTTGGGGGGAGGTTGTATTAAGGTTGTATGTGATGACGTTCCTTTTTTGTCCACCTACAGGCACAAGACCCTCAAGTCCTGGAGCAGCTCTCGAAAAACATCACCCGCATGGGATTGACCAACTTCACCCTCAACTACCTCAGGGTAAGCAGAACAAAAATGATTTTGTTCAGTCCCCCCTTACAAAAAAGTATTGTGAAGATACCATGGTCCATTGATGGATATCAGATGACAATTCTATGGTATTGTGGTATCTTGTATACCAGTGGTTCTCAACCAGGGGGCCAGGGACCACTAGGGGCCCTCAGCAAACATCCATCCTATTAACAGAATGCCTTCAAGTGAAACAGGCTGAGAACCACTGTGTCCAAAAACTCATGATGGTAATCAAACATGGTAATTCCTTTTAACTTGTGTATGTTACTGTTATTCTTAGACTGTGCATAGATAGTGAAAAATGTAATGTAAAATATGTATATAAATTTGTACACTTATATGTGACTAAATGTGTGTGTGTGTGTATGTGTGTTAACACTGCTCAGAATTTATTAGCCAGCTTCATGGTGTGCTTTGTTTATTCTCGTCATTTCAGTGTGAGTGACAGCTCCGTTTTGCGAATGGGAGAACAAGAGAGGGAGAGAAAATGAATTGGATAGAGAGAATTAGCATAACATTAATGAGTGTTCCCGTTTGAGGTGTGGCATTGTGGGTCTCTCTCTGCACTGAGCTCGAGCACAGCAAAAAACACAAACTTGTTTATCGCGAGCTGCTGGGAGAAGCGAAGGAAAAAAGGCCCTTTCAAGGTTTTCGGAACAGCCGTTTTTTCTCCCACTGAGTGTGTCTTTCTCAGTTGTTGTTGTTGCTCGCATTAAACGCACAGTCTCACTTATAAACGCAGAGTTAAAATGCGGCGGTGCAGCCTAAGCTGAATTGTGAATTAAATTTGGATTATACGCAGCTCTTGTAACAGCAAGTCTATGCGCCCTCAGCTAAATCTGCACCTGTTTTTTTTTTTTCACTGCACATGATCAGCCATGGTGCATATACAGTAGTATATACCTTCATGTATTTTATATATACCGTATACTGTATATATACTGTCTCATGTTCCCATTATTTAAAAAAAGCCTAAGACTCATTCGGCTCTGGAAAAAATGAATAATTCATAATTGTTTTGACTGACTTAATTGTGGGGTCAACCTCTGGGATTTTAGCAGTGCACTGTAATTCCCGTAAACAAGATAATTTTTCCTCTCTCCGGGGTAATTTCTCACGATCCTTGCATTGGCTTGCTGTAAAAACACCTCGTAAAAGTGACTCATTAGCATCACTTGAAAAAACTGCATTTGTTTCAGCACGTTTATCAGTAGATCCATACCGAGGATGTTTCCTGTGCTCGGACGCAATAAGACCACTGTCCGGCGAGATGGACAAGGAAGCTTGTAGGTTTCCTCACATTCAGACTAGAAATAGCCCTGCTCTGTGGGCACGGATCCAGAGATTGTTTCCCTGGACCTGTGGAAGTGAGAGGATACAGCAGCGTTGGGATACGATCCTGTCAGTGGGAAATGATTTGTGTGTGTGTGTGCGTATCCGTGTGAATTTCAGGCCACCCGCTGTGTGATTTTAATGCTAATATTGTTAAATCTTTAAAATGGGTAACTTGACGGTAACTGATGATGTTTCATGTGTATGTTTATGTGTGTTTCTTCCAGTTGTGTGTCATTCTGGAGCCGATGCAAGAGTTAATGTCTCGACACAAGACCTACAACCTTAGCCCGAGAGACTGTCTAAAGACCTGTCTGTTCCAGAAGTGGCAAAGAATGGTGGCCCCTCCAGGTAACAGCAAATCACTGTCCACTGTATTACGGGACGGGGACACTCCTAATGGCAGTAATTTGTGATCTGATCTGATCCTCACGGATGTGTGTGTTTAACGTCATGGTCTTTGGGAATATAAGCTCTAATTCAGCTCTTCGGTGGGACCTATCGAGTGGGAATTTTGTGGTTTTACACTCTTAGGTGAGCCTCTCCATTATTATCGACTGTATATCATACTAGAACAGACAACCTGCTAGTTTTAAAGTGACCCCAAAATGTTTGGACACTTAAGCCAAACTTTAAAAATGAATGTCATAGCATTAAAAAAAAATGAAACACAGTGTCTGTTGTAGTGTATTTAAAGAGCAATTCATTTATTAAATATATTAATGAATTTTTTTCTGAATCTATTATAATGAAGATCATAATATATTGTAATATAAAGAAAGAAATAATTATGATTATTATGAGGTTTTGTATTCTATTGAGAGATAGAATACATCAAAAAGATCGGTGTCAACTTAATAGAAAGAATATTTTCTAGATAACATTTTACACGTTCATAAAAAAATCATATTTCAGATAAGATGGGTCTTTATACATGTAATTATATAGTTGCCTTTTATAATTTAGACAATCTGTCAATAATTGTATCCCTCAAAACTCATCTTTGATCACCAAAATGACACTTTTTTTTCTTTTTTCGGTGAATTTTTTTTATTCATGCCTTAAAATAGCTTAAATGTAACTCTACACCCTTGCTTTATTTAGTATACTCAGAGCCATGAATATGCTAATTATCCCCGCCTCCACTCACTCACACCAGCTCGGAGCTCCGAGATCCACTCGGTCAGTTTTACTGTATAAACGCTGCACGATGGTAAGTGGAAATACTGGTTTAATTCAGCCATATATGTTTGAACCAGAAACTGATTCAGAAGAAGAAGTGGAAGAGCGAATTATACATGCTCGATGTCAATGTATTAGAATGGTAATGCATTTTATGTGTCGCTCTCTACAACATCGGACACATAACAGTAATTAATAAGATTATCCTTTTGCTTGACTACGTTATCAAACAGCTAATAATGTGTCGCTAATGTTACACAAACCATGTTCCCGTTTGCCATCTCAGAGTCGTACAGCTCCCTTTGAACAACGCTTTAAAAGGCATATAGGCATGTATCATAACATCGTAATATACATCATGTACATAATTCACCCGCTATATTGCTAAATGTGCCTGATTTGTCATATCAATAGAAAAATATACCTGTAAACCTGGCTTCTCTTGAGACTCCTCTGCTTCGCTGCAGTTAATGATACGCTAAAGCCCGCCGGCACGTTGACGTGATTGGTTACAAGGTAGTTTGTGACGTAAGAAAAACCGGCGATTTAAAATTCAGTATTTTTTTCACTGTCGTTTAAAGGAGAAAATACTCAGCAATGTTGCTGACTTATGAATTTGCTCATGGTTTGTCTTAAAGCACATTAAAAACACCACATAGACATAAACAACATTAAAAAACTTGATTTTCACCACAGGGGGACTTTAAAAACACTGCATTTGGCAGATGACGAAGGGATTAGACATCAGTAGATATATCTTGTGTTTGACGCCTTATGTATGTCGCTTGCATATTCCTCAGGGGGTCAAATCAATCAATAACAATGATTTAAACTCGTCTTTAGGACACACAAAGGGTTTACCATACATTATGATCTAAACAGTGACAACATGACATGTATGAGACTGAAAACACATCCTTCATCCGCTCCCTGTGGATGAAACCCTGTACGACCCTCGCCCACTCATTAGTCGTCAGCACTGGCCTTCTCACAATTCGTATCGAAGTGGATCTTCTGTAATTGTCGTTTCCTTATTAGCTTTGCTTCCCTCTTTCCTCCCATTCTTTTAAAATCTGGAGAGCATTTGTGTTCAGGAACAGGAAGGAAAGAAGGTTGCCTTTAAACACTGATAAGTTTTTTTTTTGCCCCTTTTTTCGCATGTATATGTGTATGTGTGGAAATGAGCACGTTTTAGTACGTCATTCACACACTTGCTCTGATAAAAATACAAAAATAAAGGTTCCTCTCTAAAAAACCCAAAACAATGTCCTTGTACAGACTGTTTATTATTGGATACGACTTTATGTGAAATCTGTCATACAAAAACTAATTGGACACAGAACTTCTAACATGCATTTCATTTGAAGGGATTAATGCATTCAAATTTACATTGACTAACAATGTGCCAAATATTTTCATTGTTATACTGAAATGAAATTTAATATAATAATAATATTAATAATACATGGCTGTACAGAACATTCTTTACAACATTAGCTAACTTTAATTTTTATGTATATCGTATATAGTTTAGGGTTTGGAAAGATTTAAGAAGTATCTGATGCTCACCAAGGTTGCATTTATTTGATGAAAGATACAGTAAAAACGGTTATATTGTGAAATAATATGAAACATTTTATTTCTTTTTTAATGTTTTAAATGTGATTTATTTCTGTTCAAATGTATTTTAAATATTATTTATTCCTGTAAATCTGATTTTTAAGCATCATTACTCCAGTCTTCAGTGTCACATGTTCCTACAGAAATCATTCTAATGTGCTGCTCAAGAAACATGTATTGTTATTATTATAAGTATTTAGTCATCAATTTACAAAAAGCGTGTAAACTAATTTATGATAAAGATTTCTGCATGTGCGAATAAAACCCACTGATTGTCCAATTAAAGTTATATATGTATTTTTTGTAATTATTTTTTTCTGCTGTTATCAGCAGTCTTGCCATTTACATTTGCATATGTCTTCTGGTCCTGGATATGCTTAACTACTTAATTTATTATAAGTATTACCTGGAAAATAAATCTTGCTTTGGATATGGTTTCAGCTGGACATCCACAGAACTTCAAAACGGAAATTTTCCCCTCAAATCACAAAAAAGGTACTTGTCTCATCTTCTGAATCATCTTCTAATAGGGAAACCACATTCTGTGTCTAAATGGAAACCTATGAAATACATTTTCCTCTCTGTTTGAATCATGAATGCTCAGCATAAAAAGAGAGATATTGAAGGTGGATATTTCATTAGTCACTATAAATAGGCAATTTGTTTGACTAAAACTTAATCAAAATTGTTTAATTTCTTCATTAAAGGGTGTTTTCAAACAGGTTACATAAATGTGTTACATAAGTTATCCAGGACTTATGAATCTCATTTTAAAGACTGTGATATTTAATGAAAGCAAACAGCATTTATACATTAATGATATAAGCGTGCATGCATGGCTGCAGAGACTGCAGTGCGCACTGTTGAGCATTTATGCAAATGAAAGCAGAGGTTCTTTCTTACTAGTGCATGTCTTGGGAGTTTAAATGCTCTTTGATTCTCTCTCTCTCTCAAAAAAAAAAGAAAAAAAGTATGGTGCATTTGTTTCCCTGTGTAATCGCCCGTATGTGTTTGTGTGCTCTTATATGTTGGAAAAGTCTTTTTTCTTCCTCCGTGTGCATGCACTCGCATTGTGGCATGTTTGTGAGTGTGGATGTGTGCGTTTGTCTTTTATTAATACTTCTCGTCTGTGTGTGCTTGTGTGTTTGGTGGAGAGCAGAGCCCACTCGACAGACCACGACCAAGAGAAGAAAGAGGAAGAACTCCGCCAGCAGTGCGTCTAACAGTAGCCTAGGCAACAGCGCTGGCGGCAAGAAACGCAGCCCTGCCAACAACTTCACTCTGGCCAGCCAGGTACCTGTAAGCATCAAATCTTCTTATTTACAGTTTACACACACACTGTAACCATCCAAAAACGTTAATGCTATTTTGCTCAGGTTGCTTTCCTAAGGATATGATTATAATTATGCTGTCAAAACACAAAAGGTGAATTTATTTTGAGAAAATTATTTATTTGCATAAAAGTCTTAATTATTTGTTTTTCTGTCAGCTCAGCTTTTTAGTAATATCCGAAATCCTTGTCCTTGTGGAGACATTTTTTGGTCCCCATGAGGAAAACAGCTTATAAATCATACCAAGTGATGTTTTTTGAAAATGTAAAAATGCATAAAGTTTTCTGTGATGGGTTGGTTCATGGGTAGGGTTAGTGTTGGGGATAGAATATACAGTTTGTACAGTATCAAAATCATTATGTCTATGGAATGCCTTGGGCCGTGTGTGTGTCTATATATATATATAGATATACAATGAAAACTAATGATGACTAGGGCCGTCAAGTTCCAAAATTACATAAGTACCAAAAACTGATCATACAAGTAGTCCATATGACTTCTGCGCTATATAAATATTCTTAGCTCTCCTTGGCACGTTCATGAAAAAAGTAGAAACGTCTGATTCATAAACAAAACTTTCTTTTTAGTAAAGTCTTTTCAGTGAATCAACTGATTCTTTTTATAAAACCAGATTGAATTATTTGTTTATAAATCTGACTCAGTCAACCTGGTTCTCAAATTCAACTCACAGTGATATGTTTGCAATTGTTAACGGCACACTGAATGGGATTATCAGTGAATAATGACTTAAAATTCAGTCTTCTTTTCTTCAGAAGACATATTATAGCGCATGGGTCGTATGGAATACTTTTATGATGTTTTATTGTAATTGCATTGAATAGTGCAATCATTACAAGTGACGAGCACTATCAAAATTTCTCTTTTTGTGTTCCACTTAAAGAAATTCATACAGGTTTGCAACCGCATCATTGTGAGTAAATGACAGATTTCTGGGTGAACTTTCCTTTAAACTGTATTTTGTCTGTATTGATTCTGCACCTTTACCAACTAATCACACATTACTGTGTTGTAATGACATGTTATGGTAATGTAAAGTTTGTTCATGGTTTGAGTTTTGGGCCATGAAACACATATAAAACGTATTCAATTCCAATGCCAAAGTAAATACACTCTCAGCACCTTCACAGAGAGAGACTCCTTAGCCCTCATTTTCAATTCCTATATTACCCACTCACAGTGTTTAACCCCAATACAGAGGCATTTATCCCAGAGTGCCTCTTTATCCCCCAGGCTTCCTTTACAGGCATTACTCTAGTGGTTGATGTGTTCTCCCAGTTTGCGCACAGGGTCAAACGCACAACACACGAGTGCTAAAGCTGTTTTGGGGAGTGGTATTGTGAGGCGGTAAATTTGTTTGCAGATGGATGATGGGATTTGTAGTGCGTGCCTTTTCCCCTGGAGTTCAGGGACACTTGGATACATGAATGCCATAGAGGAGATTAAAGAGAAGAGACACCCTCGTGTTCCAGCCCAGTCTGTCAAAACCAGAGCTGTTTGCTTACATGCTCTGATGGCTAAAAATGTGTTTTTCGTTACAAGAAGAATCCTCAGCAAAAAAAAAAAAAAAATACAATTGTATCATGCCTTTATTTGAACTTTTTTCTTCAGCTCAGCTTTTTAATAATGAGCGAACACTATACATGTGTACAGGTTTTTTTTTTTTTTTAAATCCAATGCTAATATCTAGTGAACAGGATGGCCAATGCCTAATATATAGTAAATCATATGTTCATATTATATTATTATAAAATAAATAAATGTAGTATATAAAATATGAAAAAAAAAATTTAATTGTATAGTAAAATGATATTGTGTATCTATATCAGGGTTTATTTTAGTATTTCAAATATACTACTATAGTATTTATTTATTAAAATAATGAATTTGCTTTTTTCAATTTTGAGTTTAAGTTTTAGGAATTTTCCTTTGAACTTTTCTGTGTGTGTGTGTGGGGGGGGGGGGGGGTATTCGTTTTTTTCAGAATATTTCTATTCATTTTCTAATTTATTTAATTTCATTTTTTTAAGTGTAGCCTGTCATATAATGTTTATGTTTTATTTCAGCTTTTTAGATTTAGTTAACAATAACAGCCCTGATCTGTATGATATAAGTGAATTTTAAATTAAATATTCCATATAATTCCATTATATATTCATTTATATGACCATAAAACATATATATATATATATATATATATATATAATTTCTCTCTCTGTGTGTAGGTAACTCTAATTGCATATATTTTGTCCTGCTTGTATCTAGCCAGTGTCCATCATTTTAAGGACACCAGACACATTCACACAAGCAGTGAGAAAATTGTTGGTGTGAGCAACTGGCTCTGTGCCAGCACTCATTATCATATAGATCGTGCGTGTGTGTGTGTGTGTGTGTGTGTGTGTGTGTGGTCATACGGGTGTGTGTCACAACACTCTTCATTTTACTCCCCATTCGAAGCAGCGAGCCTCGTTGTAACCAATGTCGCCGTGCGTCGTGGAGAGGAACACGCTGGTTACATATGTAGCGTGGCCACTTGGCTTTGTCTGTGCAGTCATCGCATGCTGCCTGATCGGCCTCCTACGTGAGCCCAATCACAATGAGCTGATCATGTGATCACCGGATTGGGGAGGGGGTCTTGTGTTCAACAGTATTACAACAGTGCCCTCTTGTGATCATATTTTTGGCCTGAAATTATGATTTAATTGATAGCTGTGCATGTGTAACATGCCTGGATATGTGAATGGATTGAAATTTTCTCCAGTCTTAAAAAATGTCCAGCTCAAATGTGCACCTCGAGCTCAGATCCAGGTGATGCTGAGCCAGTTTGGGATCATTCATTCAGGTAGTCTGTTTTTATAGCTGTGGGCGGCTCAGTGTGGGTTTAGCCACAGGCTACATCTAATTAGACAAGAGCACTGGACAGCCTTTCCATTTGATAGCAATTAGAGCTCTTCATCAAACCACCAGCTGGAAACATGTAGGTTGTGTGTGTGTGTGTGTGTGTGTGTGTGTGTGTGTGTGTGTGTGTGTGTGTGTGTGTGTGTGTGTGTGTGTGTGTGTGTGTGTGTGTGTGTGTGTGTGTGTGTGTGTGTGTGTGTGTGTGTGTGTGTGTGTGTGTGTGTGTGTGTGTGTGTGTGAGAGAGAGTGTTAATGTTTGTGATCCTGGCCCCTGGTTTAAAACCCAGACTGCAGGGCGACAGTTGCCGTTCAAAAACAGATGGCAAATTCAAGGCTCGTTGGCAAGCGCCATTCTTTTTTCTTTTTTTTTCTAATCGGTAACATTTCAGCTAATGACTTAATTAGCTATGCAAATTGACAAATCAGTGTGTGGATATTGTTATTTAGTCAAAAAGCCCACCTTAATGAATGAGAGTAATTAAGAAGCAGAGGGGTGGGAAGGACTGACAGTGACTCTGGGGTCTCAGCCAAACCCCTCACGAAACGACACGAGAGTCATCGCACACAAATAAACACAGATGCAACGGTAAAAGAGCTGAATCACGAGACAGGTTATGCAAAGTGAGCAGCTCCAGGAGTGTGAAGGGTACGAGGACTCGCACATCTGGAAAACAGAAAATTAACAGGAAAACAAGGTGCACTTTCCTTTTAAGGTTCAATTGGTTAACATTATGATTGCTTTAGATATCATGAACTAACAATGAACCATTTTATTTAATTTATGAATCTAGAATAATGCTAATTTATGCATTTACGGTTGTTAATATGTTCACAATACATTTACTAATGTTAAAGGGTTAGTTCAGCCAAAAAAATGAAAAGTCACTATGTGACTAAATTCCAAAGATGAACGAAAGTCGTACGGGTTTGGAACGACATGAGGGTGAGTAATTGATGACAGGATTTAAATTTCTGGGTGAACTATCACTTTAAATTTATATGGCTTAAAATCTATTTTAAATTGTAATAATATTTCATAGTATTGCTGTTTTCACTGTATTTTTGATCAAATAAATGCAGCATTGGTGAGCAGAAGAGACTTCTTTCGAAAGCATTAAAAAAAATGACCGACCTCATACTTTTGAACAGTACTGTATGCATAACCAACATAATAAATGATGTAAAGTTCATTGTTAGTTGATTATTTATTGTTAGTTGAATTGACCTTATTTAAAGTGTTACTGGGCTGATAGCACATTTGCAGAAATTAGAATTAAATGCTAAACTGCATTTGAAATGCAATCACAATGATTAATAGGCACACTGACATTCAATTTCATTGCTTCTGTTGTAAACATTTTTATTAATTTTAATGTCATACCAAAGTGTCACACACTTCAGTTTAGCTTCGCCCAAATTATAACACTAGAGAACTTGACTGCTTAAATAGTTCATTTTAATGATTTGTATTTTAGATACATTTATCTTAATTAAAAGCAACAAATTCTGTGGAAAAAAATGAAAAAAATTATTTTAAAATTTATTTTAGACATTTGAATTAAAAGCAACAAATCCACATCCATTTCACTAGGTTTCTCTGCATTTCATCAGAACATTCTGTATAACAGTATAAAGTGCAAAAAGATTACAAATAAAAGTGCTACAAATATATTAGTACTCATTTTTTCCATGTGCACTTTTTCTTCTTGCAGCAGTAATTTGGTCAGCCTATTTACAATTAGTCACTTTGCATTTTGACTGATTGGTGTCTGATTATAAATGCACATGTCATTTATATTTGCCCACATTAATGCGTCTCAGCAAAACGGATATGAATGCAGTCTACTATAACCACGCTCAATGCAAATTCACTTCCCCGATGCTAAAGCTGGGACCGAAATGATCTGTTGAACTCTCTCTCTCTTACCGATAAGGCAAATATTGTTTGAGTTTCCATCTGTGTTTCCTCACTCATGTGGATTGTGGGGCTCCTAAACTTCCGTATGCTGATGTAGGTTTGTCCCATATGGATCTAATATTCTGTTCGCTTCAATATGAGACAATTGGACTGTTGGCAATGGGAGCTAGACAATGACAATGAGGCAGACAGGTAAAGATAAAGAGCTCCCATGCTGCAGCGTGTCGACACGCATGATCAACAAAGCATGTGCTCCAGTTAACTGATCAGTTGAGCCTGAGAATTCAACTAGAAAAAGAGAAAGAGAGAGAGAAAGTAAAGAACAAAAGACCTGTGCTGCACTAAAACAAACATCCAGGTCTGATATTGTCAAGCTGTGAATGGCTTCAAATATTTTAACTAATTAATCACACAATTGATTGCTATTTATCATGTTTGTAGATTTAATATATATTATATTTTTTATATAATGTTTGTATATTGTATACTTTTTATATATATATATATATATACATTATTTTCAGCACATTAAAATACAATTAAAAAAGGTTGTAACTAATTAATCTCAATTTAATCAATTAATCACATCTAATCTTTATATATTTTATTTAATATATATTTTTATATACTATATTTAATACATTATTTTTTAAATAATAGTGTTACTAATAATGTATATAAATCGGTATATTTCCCAACCCTATATTAACCATTTTATCTGGTGCTTGCTAAGGTCAGGGTTAGGGATCACAGGTCCTTCACAGTCCAACATTGGTAGTGTTGATGTAGTTTCTGTTACAGGTAGTTTTTTCACACAAGTTTCTTCACAAGTATGAAACTTGTCTTTAATATTGTTGTTCTTTTGTCAGTTTTTTTTGACTGTGTAAGTATTTATTGCAGGATGTGATGGTGGTAGGTGAGCCCACTCTGATGGGCGGGGAGTTTGGCGATGAGGACGAGCGTCTGATCACGCGGCTAGAAAACACACAATACGACGCCACCAACGGTCTGGATGATGACGACGACTTCACGAGCTCGCCGGCACTCGGCAACAACAGTCCCTGGAACAGCAAGCCGCCCACAGGGCAGGACAGCAAGCCCGAGAGTACGGCCTCGCAGCCCTCTCAGTAGGAGACAACATGTGCAATGCCCCGTTAAACCACCAGGGCGGCGCACTCTCTCTCTGACCTCACTTTTTACCCTCAATGATGTAAATCCCATGTCATGGTGTTAATGATGTCATCCATTTTCACCAGAAACTGATGGTTCCACGCCGTATTTTGGGTAACATTTAGGAACTTCACTGTCCAAACTTTGGCAGCAATATTTGCTCACTGGATTTTTTTTTTTAAATCATCTAGCTAGGCTACAAAGCAGCGCACGTAATGTGACTCTTGGAGGAACTTGACTTTATTAAGGCTGAATGAGGTCTGAATTAACAGAGACCTGAATTTGGGACAACTTTGGCCCAATAATCATTGTAAAAACAAAAAGTACCGTCTATCTCGCAGTTCATCACGTATCTCCATAGTGACTTCAGTTGGCAACCACACTCAACGTCAACCAATGCTGAAGAGATGGTCATGTTGGCTGTCCTCTAACTGAAGACTGGAACTGCAGAGGCATCCACCGAGACCAATCCCTGAACATTTGCATTTTTATTGGAAATTCGTTTGGCTATTGTCTTCTTCCCTCTGCTTTCAATTAAAAGTGAACCGCCTTGCATTTCTTCAACACAACAGACTGTATTAACAAAGACAGCTTGTATAGAAGAAAAAACATTGGCAGTTACCATTTACAGATTGTACTTTAATTGAAATATTCCTATTTGATTTCAGAGTCAATGTGTTATTTTACTAATTTGTGACTATTATGTGTTCTCCTCGTACTGTACCATCAAGATTAGGAATTACTTTTTTGACAGGCAGGCACATGTGAAAAGCATATTCGTCTCTATCCCAGTATTGACTTAATTTCTAAATGGAACACGTTACGTTTCTGCATGACATTTTGAAATCTGTAACATGTTTATTGCCAGACTTTTGAGGTCATGCTGGACTTTGGTTATCAGTTTGAAAGCACAGTAAACCAGGGTTTTGACTTTGACAGTAAAAATGCATTCTGCTTCATCTGATGTCATTGAAGTCGTGAAAGCTTGATGTAAACGACAGCTGTTTTGACATTTACGAATTATTTGACTTTTTTTTATATAATGGATTTCATACTCAGGAATGAACACCATACTGAGAAATGAGAATGTTAAATACAGATTACTGCAAATCCAGCCACAAATATTCTGTTCATTAGCTTTAAATGAGTTTAAATAACATTCATTATGGCAAGCTTTACACTGCTTTTAATATGTATGAAAACAGCCCTTTTATCTGAAAATCATCATTCTAAAAAATGCAATCCCCTTTCAGCAAGTTATGTGATCACGTTTATACAGCTTTATGTAATTTATGTAGCTAGATACATGCACCTTTTCCATATACTGTACATTGGATTTGTAAGTCCCTTTAAAGGTTGCATACGGTGTGCTTTAATGATTGAAAGGACGATGATGACGACGAAGAGCCAAATATTTCTTTTTTTTAATTAGTTTCTTTGTTTCTGTACTTTATTACAAAACGTATTTCCTGAATATTCCTTAAAGCCTGAGATATTTCCAAAACCAACAAAATGACAAGACACAATATCAGCCACCCACCGTTTTATCCTTGTATTATTGAAACTCTGCACAGTTTGTAAAATATTTAGCAGAGGTGTTTTTTTGTGTCATATCCAAAACTCTTCTGTGTATGCTCTGCCATTTTGTGTGCCAATAAATTGTGCTTACAAAACTTTTTGCATCAATATTTCTGCCCCCTCTTACTCGGGGTTTACTTTGTCCCACACTTCCAGTAGTCTGTGTCTGTCTGTCTGTGTGTGTCTGTGTCTGACCTGACTTATGGAATACCGCTGCAGATTTCTCGTCGAAGTACTTAAGTTTAATCTTCCTGAGTTCAGTTTTGACAACAGCCAGGTAAATAAATCCACCGTTCTGGATTGAATTCATTCTGAGTCTGACTCTTGTAGAGTCTCAAGAAAGTCCCAATAGCGCCACCCTGTGTTCAATATGATCTCACACACTAAGCACTCAGTAAAAGATTTTTACTTAAGGCAGGCAAAAACATCGTTTTTTTTTTCACTGGTCAATTTTGAGATTTTGAGCTATTTGTCTTCAATAACATGTCTTCTTTCAGACTTGTGGTGAAAAAATTTCCAAAAATACACATTTAGGTCTTTATTTTACTACACTTTGTCTGTTTGCGTCTGTCATCACATACACCGTTGGAAAGCTCTATCTCTTGCACAATGTTGTCGGATCCAAATATGGTCATTTCTTTTTTATCAGCCACCAATCGTGAAAGTACAATGGGCATTTAACTCTAAAACCGAAATCTCATTGGCTGATGTCAATTTCTGACAACGTGATTCGTTCAGATACATCACGTGACGTGCTCTGACATTTAGATGTGTGTTTTTGACACTTTTTCTGTTCAGTTGAAGGCCATAAATGCTGTGTTATAAGCAAGTTGTAATGTGATTTAGGTGGTTTGTATTGTTGTTGCTAATGATTTGATAATATATTGTGTCTGTAAATAGTTGTTGTCACTAAAAAAAGTATTAATTTTTACATTACAAATCTTTAAATGCTGTTTTCTCAAAATGAGTTTTTTGTCATTCTCCAGTAGAAACATCTCAGCCTGTGTAGCACCTATGTACACCAAACTTTCCAGTTATACACTTAGCAGTATTCTGAAGATATTTTCAGAGGGATTTGTTTATAAATCATTCCTGGCCTGATTTATGTGACATTTTAATAATAAAAAAATATGTCAAGAATTGATATTTTAAGGCTATGGACAGTATATTAGGTAATGAAAGCATATATCCTGAAATCCCTCTGAAATTATTTTTTTAAACAAAATGAAAAAATAATTTTGCGCCTGGCTTTATCACATGTTCAGATCTATCTACCGAAAATATATGCAAAATGATGCATATTTAATGAGATAATTACTAATTTGCATAATTAAACATACAAATTTCAAAAACTTGTAATACATTTTTTTATATACTTGTGTAAATAATCAACTGAAAAAGTTTCATGGTGATATCTATTATTTAAAAAATTTTACCCTATTCACCTGTAGTGTCTCGCCTTAAAAATGCATTATATTCCTGCTTGTATTATTTTGTATAATTATAAATGTTTTAAAAATATGTATACATTTCAATTTATAAATTTATCCATTTTCAGTGAATAAATTACATTTATTTTGGGGTAAAAACTACTCAGAGGTAAGTATATATAACTTATTTATGTACTATAATTTATATTACAACTTCTGTGATATTTCTATAACGTGCTTATTTGGCATACTTTTATTTGATCACAATTTTGCACTGTTTATCAATATCACGTGCACAATGTGTGATGACGCCACAGCGAAGATGGCGGATTCGCTGGGTATCGGGACGTCAGACGAAAAAGATTCTGAAAATGACGATCACGAAAGGGTCAAATGTTCCTGGGGTGCTGCAGCGATATCGAGGAAGACAAACGTATCTGGGTCGGCAGCGAAAATGACGGAAACTCTCGGATTTTACGAGAAACCCGCCGTTAAAGACGAGCAGCACGAGCACTCAGGTGAGCTTGAGCATCTGACAACTGACCTTCGCCTTTTGCTTCCAACGTGGCATTAGTTTACCTGCTTTTCCTAATTCAATGGATGTAAAAGTATTTTAATGTGGCCACATCTAAAGTGTTTACAATGATGTTTAGGTGAATATTTCTTAATAAGCAGTCATTGAAACCAGTTCTAAATTGTGTTAATTTAATGTTTACAGAACGCAGATGTTGTTGCATTCATTCAGATATCAACGTTTCTAGTCTCTGTGTCTTGTCTAAAGTGCTCATGGGAAGCCTGAGTGGGTAATTTGAGGTCTTTGAATAATTTCTCTTAAACAGCCGGTCTGGTTCTGTTCCAAAGTCGTGTTCGGAACAGTTCCAGAGAGAAATGTGCACTTAAAAGCTGACCGAGGGTGTCCTCTAGCTGTGCCCTATGGATGTATTCGCTACAGAAAGTACTGCAATAAGTGAACAAATTGGAATTTTTATTTATTTTTCATCTATCTAGGGGTATACATGAATGCCCGTTGTTTTTATTGTGATTTTGGGCATCCTAAAATCATTCCCCCCAAATATATTTACAAGTATCTGATGTTACAACTTAAATCATTGGATTGCTTGCAACTAGTTACTTTTCAAATGCAGCATGTAGCCTAATGTTGCAGGAAATATCAGGGGTGCAAACTCATCGTCAACGATCCACAATTTGTTTTTTTCAACAGCCAGATAGTTAAAGAGAAGATAGGCCTAATACACAGTAAAAAATCATTAATGTATTACCTCAAATGAACTAACCATGAGCAATACATTTGTTACTGTATTTGTTAATCTTTGGTAATGTTAGTTAATAAAAATAGTCATTCATTGTTTGTTCATGTTAGTTCACAGTGCATTAACTAATGTTAACAAGATTTTAATAATGTATTATTAAATGTTTAAATTAACATTAACAAAGATTAATAAATGAATAAGTGCAGTTCATTATTAGTTCATGCTAATTAATGTAGTTAACTAATGAACCTTATTGGAAAGTGTTACCAAAAAAAAAAAATATATATATATAGGCTATATATGAGAACTCAAAAACTTGAGGCAACCAGCTTCGGGACTTGAACTTATGAGGGGGGAAAAATGTTGTGTGCGCTTTCACCAATCAAAATAATACAATAAGTTACAAATAATGTATACAAATATACAAATAATGTTTTTTCTTGTATATCCAAGTTAAATAAGCTTGTATTTTAAGTTAACATGAGCAGTGACATTACTAAATAGATATAGCCTAAAAGAATGTCTATTATCTGTTGAGAAGGCTGTCGTCAGACTTTGCACTTTTCAGATGCCGAAAATGTCAAACTGTCTGAATAGTTAGCCTTGCTATCACTATTTTTTTTCTCACCACTCGCATGCTTGATTTTTTTCTTTTTTTTCACTTTCCAGTTCATAGAAATAATTATTTTATCTATTATGCATATGTTATGTTTGTAATTTAGCAATTTTTTGTAGAAATTATTCTATGTTGATCACCATTTTAAATGTTAAGCCTTTAATTTAATAGCATTGAACCCGTTATTTCGTCTGTACCCCATAGACCTGGATGACTCTGACGAGCCGTCTCTGTTGAGGTTCATGTGTGCCGAGCTGACCAGGGGCTACTTCCTGGAGCACAACGAGGCCAAGTACACGGAGCGGAGGGAAAGGGTGTACACCTGCATGAGGATCCCCAGAGAGCTGGAGAGGGTGGGTCCCACAATTCTTTGCTTTCTTTTGAGGTGTAACCTAAAGGAACACCTCAGCATGGTAACGATTCTGAAGTGTGACCCATGTGAATTGAGTAAATCAGAGGACAAATTGCTGCATTTTCAAATACAAATACAATACAACACATGTATTTCATGCATGGATACTTTTCCAAATATTTAAAGGGTTTGTTCACCCAAAAATGAAAATTCTGTCGTCATTTACTCACACTCGCGTCGTTCCAAACCCGTAAGACTTTCGTTCATTTCGGAACACAAATGAAGATATTATTTATTATATCTTTGACGCTTCAAAAAGTTCATAAAGAGATTGTAAAACTAATCCGTATGAATTGAGCGGTTTAGTCCACATTTTCTGAAGATCCTTTTCCTTTATTTTTCACCTTTTCTTAAAGGCACACTGTGGAATTTTTGGCCACTAGGGTGCGCTCGACCTGTAATTTTCACGTCTAGTGCCCCTAGAGGCCACAAGCACCGCAGCATTGTCGCAAAAGTCAACAAACAGTCAACCGGTCAACCTCCCGTGTCTTTATGTGTGTGCAGACGGCATTTGATTTGTATGTTGGAGAAAGTTAATCGATTCACTACTGACCAAAATAATAATATAAATATAAGATTAATAATATAAATCCTATAAAGAAAACAAATTGAATAAAAGTAGCATACGCAGAAAACAATGTCTGAGGTAAGTCGCATTGACAAGGGTTGCCCAATCCTGCTCCTGCCGATCGTCTGTCCTGCACAGTTCATCTCCAACCCTAATCAAACACACCTGAAGCAAACAATTAACGTCTTCAGGATCTCTTTGCAATGGGTTGGAGATGAAATCGAGTAGTCGGGAAATCGTGTAACAAAACTGATATAACTCACTACATATTTCCGTTTTTGTAGTCTTCAGTTTGTTTTTCCTTTTACACAAATACAAACATATATGAGCTGAAAGGAAAAAAAAAACCATTTACATTTGTATACGGCAGTATGTTGTGACTTATATCAGTTTTGTTACACGAATTCGCAGTAAATATTACATTATATATACACTTTTATGCCGATGTTTATTTTAAACTCTCCCTTTTTCTTTTTTTGGTCTCCTCTGACAAAATCTTTGCTTTCTTCGCTTTCTTCCGAGTAGCTGTTGATTCAGTCATGATGACAACATACAGACGCCGGCAATCAAACGCGAGTTGAGCTCTCACGTTAGAATATGAGGAAGTTGGGGTGGTGGGGGAAGTGACGTATGCCGTAAAGCGGTCGAATTTTGTAGTTCTTTTTGTGCTCGGGTTCCTACCCGAAACCCGAAGTTACATAGTGCTAGTAAAAGCGATACAGACACCTTCAGGCTTCGGCAGACGTGTCATTCAACCTATTGTAAGTCGATGTACCATCTCAATGGGTTTTGGTAATATATTATAAAGGTTGAAAAGTTCCACAGTGTGCCTTTAATAAACACAATAAAAGTGTTTATTGCCACCAGATGGAGATATTGAGCTATTGAAAACAGATATTGAGTTATTGAAGGATGGTCAAATATGTAATGATTCATATAGTCAGATTTCATATTTTCTCATAGCATTTTTCCATTCACCTCAAGACCTCAGGATCACACTCGCACTACTCAGGTTTGTGTGATATGTTGACAGAGGTATGTGCACACAAAGACGGCTCTGTGACCCTGAAGTCGCTCCGCCCCTCAAACCCTAGAAAGAGCTCAGCAAACTCTCCAAACACCAGTGAGACGACACTCAAGTGCTCACCTGGGAACAGTTTGTTCATTATGTTTCCAGTGCACAGATGAGAGGCTAGATCTGGAACTACTGATTCCTGGTCAGTACAGACAGACTGAAGACAATACAACCCAAAACCAGCTTTGCTGCTTCCCGCGTGCCACGATTTTACATGCTTTTCTGGAACTAACATCCACTCAGTCAATGATGAGCTTCGTAATAGATATCCACCTTCATTCAGAATGATCGCTTTCTGCCAGTGTGTTTTCTCTGAGCAGGTAAGGCTCATGCTTCCTTCATCTCGCAGGGCTCAACTATAAAGATGGCTGATGGGCCCTGGTTGATGAAACTGGCACTTGACTATATTGACCAGTATTTTGTTCACTATAGTTGTTGCCACTATAGTTGCCACCCAACATGTTTGGTAACACTTTAGTTTAGGGTCCAATTCTCACTATTACCTAGTTGCTTATGAGCATGCATATTACTGGGATATTGGCCTTATTCTGCATGACCATATTCTACATCCCTTAATCTTACCCAATACCATAAACTTAACAACTACCTTACTAACTATTAATAAGCAGTAATTAGGAGTTTATTGAGGCCAAAGTCGTGGCCTATGTTTTTATGCTTTGCAAACTTAAACAGTGGATTTCGAGATTGTATTAAAGAGTTTTGTCAAAAATGTGTCATATATTTACACTACCATTCCAACACTAAATAAGATTTTTAAATGTTTTTGTAAAAAGTGTCCTACGCTCACCAAGACTGCATTTATTTGGTCATAAATACAGTAAAAAAAAGTAAAATTGTGAAATATTTTACAACTCCTGCAATGGCAAAGCTGAATTTTCAGCATCATTACGCCAGTCTTCAGTGCCACATGATCTTTCAGAAATCATTCTAATATGCTGATTTGGTGCTCAAGAAATCTCATTATTATCAATGTTGAAAACATTTGTGCTGCTTAATATATTTTCTGATACATTTGTTTTTTTAGGATTCTTAAGGTGATGATACACAGGGCAACTTTTTGAGCAATGTTGCTGGGCAATGTTGCCGTCAACTGGCAACCAGATGAGACACAGGGCCCACGACCGACCTAAAGTATCCAGATAGAAATGTATTGCCCATTTTCAATGGGAAAGTGCCCAAGCAACAATCGCTCGGCAAGATTGCCCAGCAACATTGCTCAAAAAGTTGCCCTGTGTATCATCACCTTTAGGATTATAATAAATAGAAAGATTAAAAAAAATTGAAATCTTTGGTAACATTATAAATGTTGTTACTGTCACTTTGCACAAAATGTAATTAACATTTTTTTTCTGGAAAACTTTGTTTGGTGTACTTTCTTTTACATATTTGTTTGTTTATAAATTTGTAGTGATTACCGAGCTACATAACTGTATAGTTCACGGTATTATTGCAAAATATATATAAATAAAAATATTTTAGTTTTTTTTTAGAGGTCTGTAAAAGTATTGGCCTTTTATTTTCGTTGTACTTTTTTGAGAGGGTTCTAGTGGTCTGTGTTCATCTCCCAACAAGCACTCCTTATTTTATAGTTGCTGGTAAAAACTGTCCCTCAGGATTCTCACTCAGACTTTAACCTGTTAACTGTCACCCCCCTTTTTTTAATTGACATGAAAATGCACATTTCGAACATAAATGGTTGTAATTCAAGAATGCTTTGGAATATAGACGTAAGATTGGTCTTGTTTTAAAGAAGACATTTGGCAGATTTATGTAGAAGTGAAATAAATTAAGAAAGTGAAACAGAAAAAAAGTTATAGAAGTTTGAGTTTATGGAAATGTACAATGTAAAAAAATTAATTATTCATATTTTATATAAAATATATATTTTCAAAACCTGGGCTACTCTAAAACTGCAGAAAAATCAAAGCCAAAAATCTGAACAAGTTGTGTTTCAAATTTTAGGTTGATATCTCAAAAAATGAGCTTTCAGTAAGATTTTGTTTGGGCGCAGTACCAAACTTTTTCACTAGGTCACAACCAGACTCCATTACTGCCCATATAAGGGCGCCTCCATTTCCAAATGTGTTTTGAGTGATATGAACCATTATTTCCACAATTTTCATACAATTTATGAAGTAGAGATCCTATTCAGAAGTAGTATGGGAAAGTTTGGCAGATTTTGATATGAATTCAACCTCTAATAAACACATACAAAGAACACGCATGTGCGTCATAGCTCGCTGCCACATCACAAATGGTGAATTTATTATTTTTTTCTTTATATTTAAAACATTTTCAGACCTTTTTTTCTAAAATAATTGAATGGATGCTATCTTTTGAACTCTTGGCATGAAAACAAACTAGGTTTCTACTATTTTTTTATGATTTTTCATGTTCATTGCTATTTCAAAATAAAGGTCTGAACACGCCTAGGAGTATGAAAATATTATTGTTGCAAATTGATAAATTACGGCTCCTCTGTAATTTATTTTGAAAATCAATCACCAAATATGGAAACTAGAGATTGTAAGCTTTCAAATGATATATAGTTTGTCAATATTACTTAAGGTTTTAACTAAGATATTATTGTTTTAAAAATATAATGGCAAACGTCCCACCTGTGGGACGGTGACAGTTAAGGGGTTAAAGAGCCAGTTGCTTGTGGTGTATGTTAACGTTTTAATTTGTTCTTAATGGTCTTTCTCCGAACGAAGGAGTGCCTTCTGAAGATGAAAAATATTTTAAGGTTACGGAGTGCTGGCAGACATATTCAAAGCCTCCTTCAACACATTACACGCCTCAGTGCGCTCAAGCATGTAAAGCATCAGGATTCAGGGCCGAGGGGTTTCTTAGTATGATGTCAGTGTGGTTTCTGTATAACATGACTGAATGCGACTAAACAAATGGATTTCTGGTTTGCATATCGCATAATGTGAGCGCATATGCTAACAGCACGGTTTGTGTCTTCCTACAGTTGATGATCTTCGGGGTCTGCCTGTGTCTGGATGCCTTTCTGTACGTGTTCACTCTGCTGCCCCTGAGAACTCTACTGGCCTTCCTGAGGGTGTTAACGATACCCTGCTGCGGCCTTGGGTAACACACACACACACACACACACACACACACACACACACACACAAAACTCATTTATCTTCAAAAAGATATACTGCCATTAAAAGTGTGAGGTTGGTAAGATTTTTTAATGGTTTTGAAAGTCTTATGCTCACCAAGGCTGCATTTATATGATCAAACATACAGTAAAATAGTATTACAATTTAAAATAACTCTTTTATATTTAAATATATATAGAAAAAATGTAATTTATTCTCGTGATGCAAAGCTGAATTTTTAGCATCATTACTCCAGGCTTCAGTGTCACATGATCCTTCAGAAATCTTTATAATATGCTGATTTGGTGCTCAAGAAACATTATTATTATCAATGTTGAAAACATTGTTGTGCTGCATAATATTTTTGTGGAAACTCTGATACTTTTTAAGGGTTCTTTGATTAATAGAAAGTTCAAACGAACAGCAGGAAATCTTTTGTAACATTATAAATGTCTTATAAACTGTCACTTTTGATCATTTGAATGCTTCCTTGCTGAATAAAAGTGAGAAAAAAAAAGAAAAAAAAATTACCCCAAACTTTTGAACAGTACACTGTCAAAAAAATGTGCTAAAATAGCTTGTCAATGGGGCAGTACCCTTAAAATTACAACTTTGTTCCTTGCCTACCCCTAAAGGTGCATTTTAGTAGCTTAAAGTAGTAATATGTATCAAAGTATACTTTTTTATATATAGCCCAAAGTGTACAGTTGTACACATATCCTTTCACGGTATACTCCATTTGACGTGTACGCATGCACATCTCTCGCCACAAGTTATTACCCATATGCACATCTTTATAACCTTTTAAGCTAGAGTTTCGTCTGTGGAAAAACATTGCCAACATTAGCATTTCAATTTCACAGGTAAATTAGGGAGTGTCACATTTTACAATCTGACAAACAACAATCATAAAGGACAGTAAAATGCAGTGAAGCCAAGTGTCTTCAAACCACAAGACTCAAGAAATTAGTGTATTTAGCATTGACCCACCTTTACTTGGAAAAGATTTGCGACTGCACATAAAAGTTGTAGATGCATTGTGAATAATTTCAGAATCAGATTGTGACACGTTTTTTTTTGCGTACGTTCGTTCTCTGAATCACATGTACGCACATTGGAGGAATGATCGTAAGATGAAGTGTAGGACAGTTTCTTCCCAACATTTTATAAATGAAGCCCCAAATCTTGCTCTCTTCTCATTGTGCTTTGATTATGCCATGTTCATAATGAACAATTGTGTATTGACATTTCCTCATATCAGAGTGCAGTAAAGTGCCTAATGTGTGCCTCTCCCTCCTCCCTTCAGCGCTAACGTTTGCCCTTATTGCAGACGGAGCAGGTAGGACGCCTGCCTTCACTGACTGTGACCCATTCTTCATTCTGTTTGATCCATATATTTTATATAACGAGCATGTCACTGTAGCATTTGCCAGCCTGGTAGGGTGTATATGTCACTGCCCATGATAACTCTCTTCATTGAATGGTTTAGCTTACCATATGACGGTGCAGTCATTTTAATTTTAAATGTCAGCTGCTGGCAAGTGAAGTGGTTGAATTTTGAACTGTTAAGTGTCTTGTCTGGCAGTGTTTGTGTTTCATTTCTGTAGAGTGTGACTTGAGTGTGTGTCTGGCACCTGTATGACATTGAAGTGCTACATTATATGCCATCCTGCTGAAAGAAAAAATATAGTTTGGTAAATTTAGTTTAAGCTGGTATATCTTGTTGTCTAGCCACCTGCCATAACCAACAAGCTAGACTAACTTAAGATCAGCAATCCACTATAGGCTGGTTTATACTGTTAAAATGTGTTTTTTTTCTCTCTCTGGTGCATTTGGTGACGATCTCTCGAGTCATAGCAGCTTTTCCCTTTGCTTTATCAAACAGCAAAGAGGTTTAACTGGATCCTCAGATCCATAGCTACACTTTTTTTAATTTTATTAATACCTCCCGGTCATATCTCCAGCATCAGGAGATTGTTAAAAAATATTTCTATTTAAATGTAATTGAAGAGCTTACCAGTCACACTCCTGTTTTGGTAAGATTAAATTTACAAATTCCTTCACAATGGATGAGAGAGACCTTTCAGTAGCCTTTGAGATGTTACTGTTCATTTGCAGAATTAAAACCATTCAACATTAAAATTCTCATAACCTCAACATTATTCTAGGATAGAAACGCCTTCTTACACTTAAGCCTGGCACTTTAGCACAAGCAGAAGCTCTCGCAGATAAAAGGCTAATATCAGTATGTGCGCAGTCTTTGCTTACATAGAGACAGATTTCATATCCCAGCTGTCATCTTGAGTACTTTTCTATGAGTTTCTTATGTAAAAATGTAAATATTTTAAAGAAATGAAGAAGTTTATTTGTGCAGCTATTTCATTATATTTTTATTGTAGTGCCAAATATAGTTTATCTGATGTATTTTGGTAATGTAGTATTTGAGCTTCACAGTTATACTCAGAAAGTAAACAAATTCTGCTCTGTCATTTAAATATATATATATATATATATATATATATATATATACATAAAAATAAATAACACTAATATTTAACAAGGATGCTTTAAAGTCCCTCTGTAGTCAATAATTGTATCCCTTAAAACTCATCTTTGATCACCAAAATGACATATTTAAAAGTTTTTTCCTTGGAAAAAAAATCTTCATTCTTTAAAATAGTTTGAATGTAACTCTAAACCCTTGCCTCAATTAGTATACATTGTTCAATAAATTTACAAATTACCCCCGCCTCCACTCACTCACACCAGTTCAGAGATCCACTCATTGACGTGATTGGTTACAAGGTAGTTTGTGACATCAGAAACACCAGTGATTACAAATCGTGTTTTTTAAACTGTCTTTGGTTCACTGCAGTTTTAAGGAGAAAATACTCAGTATGTAATGGTGTTGACTTATGAATTTGCACATGGTTTGTTTTAAAGCATATTAAAAATACCACATAGACATAAACAACATTAAAAGCTTGATTTTCACCACAGGGGGACTTTAAACAGAAGTGACAGTAAAGATGTTACAAAATATTTCTATTTCTAATAAATGCTGTTCTTTATATATTTATCAAAGAAACCTGAAAAATATGTACTGTATCACTGTTTTCACAACAATATTAAGCCACAACTATTTTTAACATTAATAATATGAAGTTTTTCCTATGATATTAGAATGATTTCTGAAGGATCATGTAACACTGAAGACTGCAGTAATTATGCTCAAAATTCAGCTTTGCCGTCTCAGGAATACATTACGTACATTATAAAATATATTAAAATAGAAAATAGTCCTTTTAAATTGTAATAATATTTCATTTTGATCAAATAAATCCTGCCTTGGTGAGCATAAGGGACTTCTATTAAAAACATGTATATATTCCTTAGCTTTCTGTTGCTGGTTCTCAGTCTTGCCGTTTTCCTGAGGATGTTTATGTAGATTTGCCCTCGTGAGTGGGAGTGTGATGCCTCAAGTAAAAATGAAACGTGTCGAGTTTTTCCTTTTTTATTCTCCTTCCCACACCCTGGGTGCAGGATCTTTGCACACCTCTAAATCGCAGCTCTGCTCCTCAAATAAATCTGAAACCTTCTGTTCATTTGTCTACTGCTGAAAGTGTCTTAACTGTGAACTAAGCAGGCTGTGGTAGACGTCAGTGCTAAACTCTCATTGTCTGTACATGAGGACCATACATCAGACATCTGCATGGGTTTTGAGTTGTTCCTTGCTGTTTTTCTCCATCTGGGTGTTTCTCCAACTACTACCACTTTTGACCTTGTGTTGTTGTTTATTAACTCACTTTAAACACACTTTTCACACTCTGCTAGTTTGTTTTCAAGATGCACAGAAAAACAATCATGTAAATCCTTTTCACACACTGATCGTTTAATATTTCATGTGTTCGAATCATTATCGTTGTAAAAATTCAAATAGGTTTTCATATTTAATGATTTAAGTCTTGGACATTATAATGCAAATAATTTTGATGTGGCATTCAAGTGTGTTAGTTAGTCCCTGGACTGTAGTTGAAGAAATGCCCATCTGTGTGTTTCTCTAGTTTGAAAGAAAGCCAAAGCTTTTCTTCATGGCCTCATTTTGTAAACTCATAAGGTTTATTTATAATGAATGTATTCAGTAAGCTTTCTCTGCAGTTTGTTCTGACTCCCAGGCCTGTTTAATACACTTCTGCTGTGTGTGTTTGTTTTTACCAGTGGCTCTCGGTTCCTGCAGCCGGCTCAGGTGTGTGACCTGCTGAAAGGTTTAATCATGGTGCTCTGTTACTCCATGATGCACTATGTCGACTATGCTATGATGTACCACCTGATCCGTGGCCAGTCGGTCATCAAACTCTACATCATCTACAACATGCTGGAGGTATCGAGCTGCTCTTTTGGATCATGTTATTAAGAAATTATTCACCCAAAAATGAAAACTCTATCCACACTTGGTTTGTTTCAAACCTGTATTCTGAACACATGAACACATTTTCTCGCAGCATTTATTTATATAATAAAAAGCAGCATACAGCTTTGGAACAACATCAGGGTCTGTAATTAATCACATTTTCATTTTTGAGTGAACTATTCTTTAAATATCTGTGTTATTTCATCTCTCAGGTGGCAGACCGTCTATTCTCTTCTTTTGGGCAAGACATTCTGGACGCTCTCTACTGGACGGCCACTGAGCCAAAGTCACGGAAGAGAGCCCACATTGGAGTCATCCCTCATTTTTTCATGGCTGTCTTCTATGTCTGTATCCTTTTCAGTCTACAGTGTTTAGGATACTTGAGACAATTTTGATAATGCAAATTAGAACCCATTTGATCAAATGTGTCATAATTTAGTGTAGGTATCATTATTCTTTAATTCTATATTAATGTTGAAAGAGGTGTGGTGTAATTGTAATTTAGTGATTTCCACAAACCCTGCTCATATTTCTTATCAAAACAGAATTTCCTGCCTGAACTTTCAAGATTCTGATATAAATAATATTCTGTTGAATCTGATTACTGCAACTTGTAGCACCATAACATAATATCCATGACAAAAGTAGTTCAATATAATTGTTTTCCTCAGTGAATATTTGTCTCAGTTCTGCATGCCATCCTCATCATGGTCCAGGCCTCTACTTTAAATGTGGCCTTCAACTCACATAATAAATCTCTGCTCACAATTATGATGTCTAACAACGTAAGTGTACACACACACACAAACTCATTCTGCAAATGGCAGAATCTTCAAATCTTAGTTCAAGAACGATTGTGTCACTATATACATTTAGAATTTTGTAAACATGGTTTTTACAGGCATGTGTTCATGTTTCAGTTTGTGGAAATCAAGGGAAGTGTGTTTAAGAAGTTTGAGAAGAACAACCTCTTTCAGATGTCTAACAGCGGTGAGTCTTAAAACCAAGTTATATTGGGATATGTAAATGTATATACACTGTTGCTTTTCATCAACTTAATGCACCCTTGATTAATAAGAGTATCAAAGGGTGCATCAAGTTAATCAAATGTGACAGTAAAGACATTAATAATGCTACAAACATTTTCCATTTTGAATAAATGTTGTTTTTTTTAACATTCTATTCTATCATAGAAAAACAAATGTGTCACAGTTTCCACAAAAATATTAAGCAGCACAACTATTTTCAATATAGATTATAAGAAGAAATGTTTCTTGAGCACCAAATCAGCCTATTAGAATGATTTGATATGAAAATGATTACTGGCGTAATGGCTGCTGAAAGTTCAGCTTTGCCATCACAGGAATAAATTACATTTTAAAATGTATTCAAATAGAAAAGTTATTTTAAATTGTAAAAATATTTCTGTTTTTACTGTATTTTTGATCAAATAAATGCAGCCTTGGTGAGCATAAGAGACTAATTTCAAAAACATTCAAATTTGACCAACCCCAAACTGATGAATATTAGTGTAAGTCCTGGTACTCTGTGATTTTTATGTCCATGTGCCATACTATTTAAGTTGCTGCAAAGAATACTTTGTTATAACCATGCAAACCCTTTTTATTTGTGCAACACATTTTAATGTAGATTATACAGTCAGGAAATATGACAGCAGTGTGCCTCAGTTCTGGTTATTCAAAATGACTACCAAGCTGTACATTATTATAATCACTTACAGACTCTTTGATCGACAAGCAGGTGAAGTTGTGTGTGGGCTGACTCAGAAACATTATAGCATCTTTTTGAAATGCTAATCAAAGCACACAAGAGCTTTCTGATAACGCTCTGTGAGATGCTGACAGGCTGTGGTGCGTTTGAGGTCCTCTTTCCTACAGAGCCCATCCTTTTATGAATACTGTAATCAGCACCTATTCTGCCTTCCGCTGTTTACTCTCTCTCCACCTTCAATTGGCCACTAAGTCTTGTGGTCGTCCATTTAAGTCTTTGTGATGGAAGAAATCCTCAAGTTACTGTTCATACACAATCTGCATGTGTCGTACGGATTACCATCCTTTGAAGTCTTACAATCTAAAAGCTTTATTTGTTGACCGTGGTTTCCCCTCACATTTCGCAGGAGAGTGGCTTTGAGAATATAATATATAAGATGTGCAGACATTGTTGCTCATGTGTTGGGTTTATATTTCTGTCTTGCAGATATCAAGGAACGGTTCACCAATTACGTATTGCTCCTCATCGTGTGCCTGAGAAACATGGAGCAGTTTTCATGGAACTCAGGTCTTGATTAAAACTAGTCTTGATTTAAAAGGCAGACATTTTTTAAGTAGAATCTATTTTCTTTTTAGTCTAGTAGTTGGTTTATTGTAGTGCCAGAATGAAGGTTTTGGATCCTTGGCATCTTTATGAGGCAGATTCATAATGACTGTGATACTTACTTAACCTACTATTTCAAAAATGCTTGGTTAATCTGTTAATAGTGTTGATATTGCTTGCAGATCACCTCTGGGTTCTGCTTCCTGATGTCTTCATGGTCATCATGTCTGAGATTGCGGTTGACATCGTCAAGCATGCCTTCATCACAAAATTCAATGACATCACAGCTGATGTGAGAGCCACAGATTTGTCATTTGTTTTTCAACGATAATCGATCTCAAGACCACAAGTACATATCAAGTGTGCCATTCTAAACAGGGCCATAAATTGCACTAAAATATACACAAACACAGGCAACGCATATTCACTTTTAATTTCCATCATGTTCTTTAGGTCTACAGTGAATATAAAGCCAGCTTGGCCTTTGAACTTGTCAGCAGTCGACAACAAAATGTAAGTGATCATTTATTGTCTGACTTTTTATTTGAAAAAGAAATCTGACAGCACTAGTATCTGTAAACAGCATAAAATGGCAAAAAAAGTTAGAAAATAATAGAATACAAATGCGGTTTATTCGCGGACAGGCCTACACAGACTACAGCGATTCAGTGGCGAGAAGGATGGGCTTCATTCCTTTGCCTCTTGCTGTACTGGTGAGAAAATATTTCACTTGTTTAGCTACTCCTGTTATTTTAATTTTTTGCCAAAAAATACTCTCTGAAACAATGTGTACTATGTATTTGTAATGGTTATTAGAGTATCATGCTGTTAGATTACCAACATGCTTATTCCAAATTGTAAAATGACACATTAAACAACAAATGATATATTACTGATACTGAGGATACGGTTTTGTTTTCATCTCCTTTAGTTGATTCGGGTGGTGATGAGCTCAGTCAAGATCCAGGGCGCTCTCTCGTCTGTCTGTCTGCTCCTCTTTTATCTTGGGTAAAATCAATGACCTAATTGTAGGCATCACATAATCTATCATTTTTACTGCATAACTCACCGTGCAACCCAATCTCGACAGACCTAGTGTTTGAATGTTTTGTTTTCCTGCTGTGTTAATATACAGTCTGTGAACGGATTCTGAGAACAGTTTTGGGCAGTAGTAAAAATACAAATACAAACTACATTTCTCAGTAGAGGTGGTTGTGCCAGTATAGTTTTCAAATCATGTAGTGAAAGAAGGGGTATTTTTTATACTTTATTGTTAAAATTTTGGGGCCAGTAATGTGTTTCTTTTTAAGAAGAAATTAATACTTTTATTCAGCCAGGATGCATTGAATTGATCATAATTTATAGTAAATACTATCCTAACATTTCAAAAGATTTCCATTTCAAATAAATGCTGGTCTTTTGAACTTTCTAGTATGCATCAAAGGATCTTAACAGGAAAGTACCATGGCTATCACAAAACATATTAAGCAGCACATCTGTTTTCAACATTGATAAAAATAAGAATTTTTTCTTGAGCACCAATTCAGCATATTAGAGTGATTTCTGAAGGATCATGTGACACTGAAGACTAGGGTAATGATGCTGAAAATTCAGATCTGCCATCACATGAATAAATTGTTCAAATATATTAAAATAGACATTTATTTTAAATTGTAATATTTCACCAAATGACTCTTCTTACTGTATTTTTTTGATTAAATAAATGTAGCCATGGTGACTTCAAAAGCATAACAAAAATCTTACCGACCCCAAACTTTTGTGTACACGTCAGTGTATTTTAAGTTTTACTAAAACATTTCTTAATGTAGTGAGGTTAGCTGTAATGTAGTCTGACCTGCTACTTTCGCTAATTGTTCTGTGGAGTAGTTTGTAACATTTTGGCAATATTTTGGGGGAAGCCTGCCTGAATCAAGCTTGAAGTTGTAGGTTTTAGCTCTACTCTTTTTACTTGTTTGGTCTGATTCTGCAGATTGATAACACTGAAAGTGTTGAATAGTATAATTATTCTGGGAAAGTCCTGTCGATATGTGAAAGAAGCTAACATGGAGGGTAAGCTGTTTGAAAGACCGACTGCTCAGACCTCAAAGCAAACTCCCAAGAAAGCCAACCCTGCCAAATCTCCCCCACCCTCAGGTAACACCAGTTTGGATTATTCAAGTTATTGTTCAGACATTCTAAACACAGGATGTTTTGTGTGGAGAGTTTTTAAAGCATCATGTTGCTTTTCTGCTTTGTTTCTTTACCTCTGTTTTTAGCTGAACCTGAGGTTCAGCAGCCCTCCACCTCCATCACCAAACAGCCGACCCCCAGGGCGAAGCCTTTTCCCCCGGCTCCACCCCCTGTAACTGTGGTGACCAGTGATCCGCCACCAGATTCTCCCCCTAAACCAGAGGAGAGCAGCAGCGAGACACAACAATCTACTGAACTTAAACACAGAACCACAAATAAAGATCTGTTGGAGATCGACCGCTTCACAATATGCGGCAACCGAATCGGGTGAACTTTAACCCCATCACCACAGTAACAGCTCAGGAACTAAGTTGAGGAGACTCAGGAGTATAAGTCTGACATAATTGCGAGGGGCTTTCGAGTGAGTTCTTCAAAGGTTGCTACTATTTATCTCTAACTGAAAAATGAGTCTGCTTCTATTCCTGTGGAATATCTACTAAAGGAATCAGATCGAGTGCGTAAAGCATTTCAAATCAAAACCAAGAATCTGTTCACCCTCGGCAGGCTGGCATATCACGTGGAATAGAATCTAGTAAATGTTGCTCTAGGATATGTTTGTCTCGATTTTTATCCGAGACAGAACACATTGAACAATAAATGAGGCATGAACGTCTTACAAACTAGACTCTTCCCACTCAAAATTGGTCTGAGTAGAAACTAAAAAACATGAATTACAAAATTATTTATTTTTGAACACTTAAACTATTTACTAATTCCCATCTGATTCAAATGAATAGATACATTTCTACATATTGACACTTTTGGCTTAGAATATTATGCTAAACAGATTTGCCAATAATGCTGCCATTAGATTTGTTCAGTCTGCCAAAGATTTGTTTTTAGAAGTTGTAAAGGTGTTATTTGGTTAGATACATTACTGTGTTTTTTCATTGTCTATTTAAAAGAAAGGGAAGGTTTGTCTAGCCTAACGCCAGGCTGCTTGATAATTTAGCTCTGTATAATATACAAGGTGCCAGCCCAGCAGACTTAACTTTGCACTGATTTGCCATATTGTCTTAAGCGGTACAGAGTATTTTTGTTTTGTTTATGAGTATAATATTGACCTGTTTACACCAGCTATGAAAGAGCAAATAATTGTTTCATATGAAGTGTAACATAGGAGTGTTTTTTTGAATGCACATTGTGTTTTGAAATTCAACTCATCTGTGACCAATCACATAGTGGGAGACTATATTGTTTGATATAATTATTTTGTTGTTTTAAATGTAAGTAAATTATTATAGAGTAATTAATAGTTCAATAACATGTTTATACTATTTTATAATGTTGCGTAGAAGTTGATTTAGCAATGAGAAAAGTTGAATGTCAATCTAAGTCCGTGCAGCCTGTCTAGAATTTACCTCCAGTATAGAGTCATGTGGTGCAGACGTGCCCAAAGCCAAGTGACTTGAATGGATATTCCGTCATTCTCTTTTGACTGAAACTGTTTTTTAATAACTTAATAGAAGTGTTCCTGCTATGTTTTGAAATGTGCGTCATTTTCATTTCAGTATGTTGTATTTTGTTCCGTTATCATTGTAAAAATTGGAAGACGAATTTCGAAAAGATTCTGAACAGGGTTGCACAGGTTGTTGTCCTTATTGTTTTTCAAATGTACCATAATGCTAAAAAGTGGTTTCATACGTAAAGGGTGACGACTCAAATTTTTATGTAATGCCATTTTTGGGATGGCAAATAAAAGTTGTTTTGCAATTTGTGCCTTATGTTTTTTTGACAGTCATCTCTTGAATTTTTGTTTGGCTGTCAGTGTCCAATACTATGTCCATATTGTTTTGTAGTCTTAGGTGAAATTTTATATACATTTATTAGGAAAAGTGTATTTTTCTTGGCCATCATCTTGTAAGTATTTTACCGTTTTTATTCACCTTTTAGTTAGTTTTGTCAGTCCATGTTATGCTCTGGTTTAAACTGTATCAGGCAGCCTGAGACTGTAATCTGCCACTTTGTGACCTTCTCTCCTACAGATTTCACAGACTGATGGACAGCTAGTAAATCCGCCCTCAGCCGCCGCCAGCATCTCTATGTTCATGAGGTAATGTTCGCCTCCCTTACACCACCCACCACAAACCTTCCTGTCCTTCTCCATCATGACCTACAGATACCTACTTGACGTTAGACACACTGTAAGTGTGGAGGAGGTAGAGCAGTAGGTTGTTTCTAAGACAACTGTATGGCCATTTGGCTTTAGAATAAAGAAATCCTCTTGTATCTTTACTCTCGAGTATCTATCAAGTATATCAATATAGATATCCTTAGTAGTATTTTATCTCAAAGTATGTATGTTAATGAGAGTTTTTTTGCTGGACTACCCAGTATATTTGCCCACTGATGCGACCATGGTAATCTGTCATCTTACTGTTTGCCATGTCGGAAAAGAATTGTTCCTTCTCCAAACAGATCGTCAGGGTTTTGACTGTTGGATTTTGCCTTTGTTCGGAAATGTCTGACACACAGAACATTCTGCAGCCATTGCATTCTTTACAGAATCCTTTAATCCACAATATGAAAGAGAATGTAATCATGTGGATTCCAGCTCTGATATCATGTACTCCCAGCATTCTGAACCTTCCTCACATTCTTTATGAATTAAGCAGTTGTTTCCCAGAGTATAGTGAAGGAATAACATTCCTGGTGGTAAATGAAAGGCCATTTGCTGTAGTCGGGTAGATTTTGATCCCATTGGCTTTTTGGAATTGCACAGTAAGAGGTGACCAAGTTATGAATGATAACTCTTATCTAACATAATGCTGTCACGTTAAATTGGTCTGTGGTGATCGATTAATTAGTTAGTTGTGTAATATAAAGTACTCTCCATGTGTCGGCCTATATGAATGAAATACATGAAGTACTTTCTGGTCTTGTTTGTTTTCAAACCTTTAATGCCTTAATAAAATCTGAGAGAAATCAAATGAGTCATGTTGTAGGAGATCTGAGCCCACTCAGTGGGTGAACTTATTTGGCTAACACATGAGAAGCTGAGAAAGTAGATCAAATTCAGAAGTTTGAAATAAACATCCTCCATGTGTGTTGCTTATGATACCATCCATATATTCCCTGTGCTGCACCTTATGACTCTCAAGATCGATTTTGCCAGGATAGGATTCCCATATATAAATTGAATTGTAGGGCTTGAACAATAATTTTATCAACCCTCCCATTTCCTCATGATTTCAGAGATGGCTAATAATGTGCTGTATATATGACTATGTTCGTGTGACAGGAAACAATGTTCTGGGACCATTGGACCAACAAAAGATGCTGATCCAGGATGATGTTCTACTCAGCCTCTGACATAAGGAAGATGTTAGTTTTTCACTAATGATGTTTCCACCAAGATACATGCAGGCTATATAAATTAGTGTTGTTCTAGGCCTAAATCAAAATAAATATAGGCTTAAGATTTTCCTTCAGGCCGAATAGGAAAGTTTCAGAGTCTGTTTAATTGCATTTTTAGAGTCTTTAGTTGCCACACAAAGAATTATAATAACAGTGCTATTTTGGTGCAATTAAGATAAATGTTACTATCAAATAGTGCATAAAATATCAGGGCCATTTTAGACATAGACTACGTTCATTTTGATATTTAACTATAATGTTTATTTTGTTGAGTGAGACAACCCATCTAATACCACAAAACACATATTTTATTAAATCTTTTGCTAATATTAGATGTTTTTGTCGTTTTCTAACAAAAAAATGTTGCTTAGAGGATGATGTCATTAGCCTACTTTTTTTGATTAGGGAGATTTTAAAAAGACGGGAAAGTAGTGGAATTATTTAAATAGCCTATGTGAAGAAGAAGAAAATTCCCTCGAGTCATTTCAGTAGGATACTTTTGTTTGATGTCAAGATGAAACTGAAATCAAATTAACAACTATGCCGTGTCATATTCTGAACTAGAGGGAACCATTAAGGACAAAGGGGTGTTTAAAAAGTCACATTTTCATCCGTGTTTGAAAGTGGTAAAGATGATTGAAAACTGCCTAAATGAAATCATCGCGTCACTGATCTTTAGCACCCGGCAGGCGGAGCACGAGCACGAGCGAGTCTGTGTTCACTCACACCTCACTGGCTCACGCTCACCAGCCGTGTTATTACAGCGGGGCATCTGACTGACTGGCCGACAGAGAGACGCGAGGTGAACCTGCAGGAGCCGCTCGCCACGGGGGACCATGGTCATCATGAATCGCTCGCCGGACAGCAGGACTTGAGACCTGCGGTTTATCCGCAATCGCCGAGATTGTCCTTCCACAGTACACCCAGAATTTCCTCCACTTTCATCATCTGGAATTGCTTTAACACTAGAACTAATCATGCTGTGGAAAACGGGACTGATTATTCTGTGCTGGGGCTTGTCGTCCGGGGAACTCCAGGACGGGCAGTCCGGCACTCCTGCTACTCCAGCGCGGAGAACTTTGGATTTCGGCTTCGTCCCCTCCGGAGTTTACGATACCGTCGCCTATTACGAGCCTGGGGCCATTGGGATTTTATTTAACATGATGCACGCTTTCCTCTATGTGGTTCAGCCTAACCCGTTTCCTGAAGGTGAGCTCAATCCTGTGATTTTCTTGAACTTTTGGACACCTTTAAGAATCAATTTTATGTTTCCCTCACTTACTAATTAATTTAAAGCAGGTTATTTCTATGCTACCACACTATTTCTCCAACAGCATCTATATCATGCGTAGCCTAGTGTGAGAGAGCTGCCACCTGTGATATCTCTCCATGGTGAATAAGATTGTGTGAGGGGTTAAATTTGGCTGGTCTGGCATATTCTCCACCCACCCCCACTGTGTTCGTCATTATTTGGTAAATCTTGAGATTAAGATTGTGAGTGACCCTGTGAGTCACTATCCTAATGAGCTAAAAGGCTAATCTTGAATGCCATATGTTGCAGCGCTTTTATTTTCCAGCATGCCACAGGTGGATATAACCTGGTTCCTGGAGGGACCCCAAACATACACACACACACATAGTAGATCTTGGAGAACTTTACTAAAGAGCTGGTTTGTTGCATCTGGTGCTTGATAAGGTAGACATCCTAAATGTGTGCTATTGGTTATCCTTTAGAAACAGGGTTGGGAAGGGCTGGTATAATCAACAATAGAAGCCACCAAGCACCCTCACTCTTATAAATAAAAGTGCCAAAACGAAGCTTTTCACTGCAATGCCATTGAAGATGACATTTCTTTTCTTAGCATTAAGAACATTTAATCGGAAGAACCTCTTTCCACTATAAAGAACATTTTATCCAGTGGAATGATTCCATTGATGTTTCATGTTCATCATGGAACTGTAGATGCCAATAAAGAACCATTATTTTTAAGAGTGTATAGATCTTGCATAATTTTGCAAGGATTATACTTGTTTTATTCTACATTCTCTGTGTTTCACTTAATTCTCCAAGGTTATAATTCCTTCTTTTTCTGCGGCTCGTTCATTTCTCATCTGGTAGTGAAGGCCCCCCTCTAGCAGTAGGTCCAAGTCATCCGTGCATGCATACGTCTTCTGAACGCATGCAACACTGTCGGCATTTTGTTTTCATTTCTCCTCCTTCGTTCTCAAATAAAAATAGCCACAGCTGTAGCCTTTCGGCAAATTAATTAGAATGATAAAAGCTCTCTGACAGGCCTCCAGTATATGATAATTCAGCCCGCTGCGTTTGATTTGCAGTAAAGAGACAGCCGTAGAGCTGCGGCAGTCTCGTCATAACTCCAATCCTGCTTGATTTGTTCTCTGCCACTATGTTTGTGCCATTCTTGGAAGTAATTTCTTAGCATGGATTTTCAGGGCTGGTTTAAGAAGCCTGGTCACGTCACACCTAGAGTAGACAGACATGCTCAAATCCTTTGATCCTTAAATCTGAATGGACTTTGACAAGTGAAAGTAAGGACACTGATGTGTGATGGTAACCCCCTGTCTCCTTTAAAAGAAACAGTGTCTTTAGACCTACAAAACTACTCGTAAGATCAAAGCGCGCTGGGGGAGGATGGTTCGGTAATGGCCTATTAATTGCTCCGTGTGGAGGTCTCTGGTTTCGCAGAGTTATATTGCCAGGAAATATATTAGGGAGCACTTAGGATCTCTTGGTTCTCAGACATTGACCTGGCTGTCATGACTGCCACCTTTGGTCTCTCTCTCTCTGTTCCCTGAGCCTTAGGCTGTGTCTCATTTTGCTCCTCGAAGCAAATTTTTCTCTTTTAAGATGTTGTGCCATTTCAATAGCACTAGTGTCACCAATCGAATGTTAAAGTAATGATTGTTTCTGTACAGGTTTATCAAACATTTCCCACATCTGCCACTGGTCGTGTAAAGCTGGGTTCAGACTACAGGGGTTTCGGGACGATTTATGCCCGATTTACCCCTCCCGAAATCGCGTCCAGGGCATCAATCGGTTGATGTTTGATATTTAGGATTTTAAATCGGGATGAATACGACTGTTTACGTTAGTACTTCCACAATAGCCAAAAAGAGACAAGTGTACAAGGAGACGCAACAAAACTTTTGAAATGGCGACCATGAAACAACAAGCAGCTGTACGGGTCCAGCGGACAACGGAGACGGAGGAACGGCTGGTCCAAATGTGCCAACAACACGACTGCCTTTATAATGTCTCCTTATATAATGTCTACAGCAATTTGCCGCGACACAGTATCCATTTAGTTTAAATCAGCTTCCCCGTGAGATCAAGTGAGGTGCTAAATCTGGCATGATCATCTTAACAATATCTTGTAGTGTGTGATGCGGCACGATTTTCAAATCTTGTAGTGTGTGCAGGTTTGAGATGTGAAAGAAAATCTGTGAAGATTCTCCAGATTTCACAATTTAAAAACTCCTGTTGGCTTAAGTTCGGAGTCAGTAAGATTTCATTTTTCTCTCTTTTTATTTTTCAAATAATTTTTTTATTTAGCAAGGACCAGAAGTGACTGTAAAGACCTTTACAAAAATCAATTAATTTTTATTTGATTTTTTATTCATCAAAGAATCCTTAACCAGTGTATCACGGTTTCCACAAAAATATTAAGCAGCACAACTGCTTTCAAAATTGAAAATAATAAGAAATATGTCTTGAGCAGCAATTCAGCATATTAGAATGATTTCTGAAGGATCCTGTGACACTGAAGACTGGAGTAATGATGCTAAAAAAATCAGCTTTACCATCACAGGAATATATTAGATTTTAAATTATTTTAAAATAGAAAACGGTTATTTGAACAATATTTCACAATATTACTGTTTTAAAACAAAAGAAAATACTTTTCCCCCCCAAAACACTAAAAAATCTTACCTACCCCAAACTTTTGAAAGATTGTGTATAAGTAGTCATTTATGAATTCCATTAGGGGGCTATTGTAATGGGGACACCCTTGAGCTCCATCTCAGATTATATGATCCCAAATCCAGCATTCCAGGTGATGAACTGAGTCCATCTGAAGTAGACATATGCAGTGGAGGCAGTTGCCAGGGCAACATAAGTTTCTCCCATTGGCCTACATATGTCTGAATGCTGTAGTGTTATACAAGGTGTGAATAGCCAGTGCTTTCTGCGAGAAAAGCAGTGCTTTAGTAGATCTTAACAGATCCTTCTTTAACCACAGGACAACCAAGACTATATTAATGTTTTTCGTGCCAGGAAGTATGCAAAAGTGCTTATACCAGGGCTATTATAATTTAATAAAACGTATATATTTTTGCAGTAAAGTCAATTGTATACTCTTACATTTTGAATGTATTACTAATTGTTATGTTGAATGCATGTTTATAAAAAAAAAAGACGCTGCAGAGCGTGACGTCATATGATATCGCGACTGTTGCAGTGTCCGAAGAAATTGTGCATGCTCAAAGTAAAACCAAATAAAACTAAAACTTAGACATATTTTTGAAAAATTCAGCCAGCAGGGTTGCTGAAGGATGAAGCCGCAGTGTTGATGGCAGATGGCCGCCAGCTTGCTGTGCTCCCTCTTGCTCCTCTACATCTCGAGAGGCAGTTATGACACTCGCTGAGGCTGAGGGGAAATGAAATTGAACTTTTTCCTCTCTATTGCTCCCTTTCCCTCTTTCCATACCCCAGTTATCTCATTCTGCTTGACCTCCATTCTTTCTCCTCCTTGCCTCCACTCAGCAAGCCCTCCCATACATATTCATGTGCAAAAGTCCTCAAAAAGACTCATATTTAAGGGCTGTTGCTGTTATTTTTAGAGGTGGCTTAAAAAAACAAAACAATAGACAGTCATTACAAATATATTCAATTCCGATGCTAGGGACTTGGACACAAATCCAAATGAATGGAATGTTTAATTCAGAATAGAATGGAATAGAGAAACCTTCAAAAATAAGTTGTTGTAATAAATCATATTCATACATTAAAATTACAGTGGGTGTGTGCCAGACTATGGTTGTTATTTTATGAGCAGCTGTGAAATGCATCCCACATATTTGAATATAGTGAGCATTATTGATGTTTGAGGAGGAAGTTGGAGATGTTGGGAGCGTGTGATTTGTCACGTGTTCTCATGACTCCAGCATGACTGTGGTGCTCCAGGGACTGGCACATGTCACTAGATTTCCTGGGGCATCTTTAACCCAGCATGAGACCCATGAGCTCCAGTAAACCCAGTGCCTAACTGTCAGCATTATCAAAATGAGCTGGCATCCTAAGAATATTCTAAAAATATTCTTAATAAAACACCTTATTTTTGGTTTCCAGTAATGTGATCATTTCTGTTTCCTGAAATAATGTTGGTGTTTCAGTAGCATATTGGTTACTTTTATTTTTTGATATTTAATTGGTATCACTTTAGTTTAGGGTCCAATTCTCACTATTAACTATTTGCTTATTTATTTATTTCACTATTAACTATTTGCACTATTACTATTTACTTATAAAGCACATTAATGCCTTATCCTGCATATTCTACCTCCCTTAATCCTACCCAATACCTAAACGTAACAACTTCCTTACTAACTATTAATAAGCAGTGATTAGGAGTTTATTGAGGCAAAAGTCATAGTTAATAGTTCGTTAATAGTGAAAACTGTACCCTAATCTAAAGTGTGACCATTTAATGTAATAATACTATTAAATGCATTCCTGTAGCTCAAGCAGTAGAGCATGGTGCTAGGTCATGAATTCGATTCCCAGGGAATGCTTGAACGGATAAAGTGTGTACCTTGAATATGTAGCTTATAAAGCGCTATACAAATGCATAATGTTAGGGCAAATTCTTCTAATTTGGCACTGTTTTGCATTGTTTGTGGCTCGATTTAGTCATCATCAATGAAAGCTTTTCGAAGTGATTGGTTCATTTTGAGGGCTAGTTAGTTAGTTTGCTCACGGAAATGCTTTGAATTGAATGTTTTTTGAAAAATAGATTTTAAGGAATTTTATTAAAAATTAGGTATATCAAGTGTCAAATAAAATTTGCATTTAATTTTGTTAGTAATTGAATTTTGTTAGTAATTGTTTAAAAATTGAAAAGGTAAAATAGAGTTCCAATGTATCAAAACGATGGCTATCGATTTAACACGTTAATTTGGTGTGATTT